GGAGGCACGGACAATGCCACCCCTAAGGGAGGATAACAGTGTCCTGCAGGGAAATTGGGGCGGCTCGGCCGCTGCCATCCCAAGGGAGAAGGTTTGGGAAAGTCTGTGGGGAAAAGGGAAGGGGGGGCTTTGCAGAAGCCGAGGAGGAAAACTACAGGAGAGGGGCTCGACGTGGCTGGAAGCCAATGAAATGCATGGATGTGAAGGGCCTCTCTTAGGATGTTAACACTTCTCCCATAGCTGATGTGTCACCATTTACAATTCTGTCCCATCCGTGTCCTTTCGACCCCCCGTGCCCCCATAGCCCAGAATAGGGAGGAGAGGGTAGAAAAGGCAGCTTTCCGAGAAAGACAAGGCGCTTTCCAGTATGTGTTACCCCAAAAAGACCAATCGAGGTTGCGTCCTCCTCGGAAAACAAAAAGCCTCCCGGCCGCCAGGGACATGCAAGCCTACAGCCCCCGTTTGAGCGCAGACAGTGGTTAAAACTCAGAAAAGAAAAAAAGGTAGCTCAGCCGCCCACCAGGGTCCCACCCTGCTCTGACCCAACTTACCCTCTGGCCTCGGGTGGTGAAATCTTTATCTCTCTCCTCGGTAGTGGAAAATCACGCTAGACTGAGGACACATTCTTTTGCGGTTTGGCTCTCCCAGAGGCCTGGGTGTTCCCGTTAACCAGGGCTCGCCTCTGAAACCCTGGGTTCAGCCACTGTCAGCCTCTGGTCTCCATTCAAATGCCGTCCCCTGACAGGCCACTCGTTGAGCTCAGTCCATCGAGCCTCTGCCAAACTCTCCTCTTTGTTCCCGGGTAAGTCTACCCGGCTCCTGGCCCCTGCAGTCCGGCTGCCCGCGCAGCGTGGCCGCTCCTGGGCGGGTTAGAGAGCACGCCGGCAAGGACAGAAGAGGGTCCCTGGCTGGAACTTCAGGTTTGTTTTCCACCCGGCGCATCAACTCCTCTTAGCGTCTGCAGAGCTCTTGTGGCGACAGAGCTCCTTTCTCTCTCTCCCTTTCACAAATTGATGGAAATAACCATCCTCTGCTACCATTTGTTGCCGCGCGAGACCGGCTCCGGGCAGATGCCTGCAGGAGCACAGCGGGAGGAGGGGAAAGGCAGGGCCGCTTTTCCCCTTCGGCTCTGCGAGGCTCAGTTCTAGCATGGGAACAGACAAAATAGTGACATGGGGCTCGGGTGCAGACACGTGTTTATTGTGGGAGCGTGTTCCCGAGACCCCGGGGCATTGACCAGGGGTTGGTTATACCCCGTGCCGGGGATGGGAACATGAGCCGTGGCCAATGGGGATAGGGCAGGGACAGGGAAACCCTGGAGGCCCCGGGGAGGCAGGAGCGGCGATGGGAAAGGTGGGAGTGGGGGGCAGGGATAGACCGCTGGCGAGGGGGAGTGATAAGGGAACACAGGATCAGGACAAAGGACTGCGGGGGGGAGGGGCGAGCTGGGTCGCAGGACAAAGGGGGAACGTGTGGGAAGGGGGGGGGGAATGTGGGGGGGGAAGAAGAGAAAATTACAAATCCCACAGCTCTTTATCTGTGTATCTAAAGTATCAAAAGTATCTACTTTTATGCAATAAAGAAAATAAACCAACATTGAATGATGACCATCCCTCCTAATTGATAATTCATGTGGAATTTTGAAAAAAAAAATACATAATTAGGCAAAATAATCTGTCTGGTACACTGTCTTGGAAGCAGAGCCCACTCATTGCTCTCTTTCAGTAAAACACATTTCTTTGAAAACCTGCTCGTTGAAAATAAAATCCAACAGATCTCCTCTCACCTTGATTAACTTCTGGATATAGTTTTTCAATAAATATATTTGTTTTAAAACAAAATTCAGAGTTGAGTGAAACAGATTGAATGAAAATATCCAAGACAACTCACAGACCCACCTGATACATTTAGCTTGTATTTTTTTGAAGAGCCCCTCTGTTGCTTTTGCTTCATCAGTGACCATCTTTATGATGCAGATGTATGTCAATCTGGTCCTTGAAGTTACTTCCCCTGTGTTCATGCTCTACCCCTGGAAGTGGTCCCAGGATTTTAATTAAAGAACAGAAATAGCAGTCTGTAAATGACAATCCCTTGCTTGCATGGGACAGTTTGTCAAGAAACTGAGAACCAAGTCAATATTTGTGTTAATCCCTTTTACACTGCTTTTATAATCTCATTAAAGCTTAGAGCTGAGTCTGGCTATAAGACAGCTGCTTGCTGTCTCATGTGGTATGCTTTTCCTTCCTACTTCCATACCTGAGATTGTTATCAAGGCAAAGATGGAAATTCAATAAATACTACTGTACCATTTACATCTCATGGGCACAAAGATCACTGATTAGGTTGTATTGGGAAAGTCTGACTACCATGCATAAGGATGTAAAATAATTCCTGAGTGAAAGTGGTTCAAAACATCAATATGAAGCCATATAGTGAGATAAGGGTGATAAAACCCTCTCTAGTCATAGTTGGAGGTTTTCTGATTCAAGATCTCTAACTCTGAAGACAACAAAGTCTTCCCTGAACATTTCTTAAGGAACTTAAAGCTTATACTTACAGCAGCGTTATGCTCTGCACGCATTTCACAGGTTTGGTAGCATTGGATGCACTACAGACTTAACATCTTCTCAAGCCATTTGCCATATGAGAATCTTAATTTATCCATTTAATGTCAGAAAAAAATTGAGTTTGGTTGGCTAGAATTGCATTCTCTCCAAATGCTACCGAAGAAATACCCTGAAGGATTTTTCTTCAACTGTTTCCAGACTAGTTTTGTTACAACTAAAGCTGCTCCGTGAGCTCAGGTGTTTTCTGTACTTGTAATGGAGGCAGCCACAGCATTACACTAATTCCAACATATGGATCATACATGACAGTGTACAATGGCTAAAACCAGCAGTTCATTATTCATCTCTCTAGGAAGATTTAAGGATAAGTCCTTGCAAAACTGGAACTCAGAGACATTTATGTTCCATTTAAATATTCATGACAGCGTTGTTATCTTCTCAGTTCCTCCAGTGTTGGAGTTAGCTTTTTTTGACTTAGAGAAAGGGCAACATTTAAAACTCAAAAAACCCTTAAAAAAAAAAATCACTAAAACTCTTAAAGAAACCCCACCAAACACATCATCATACTCCACAAAAACCCTTTTTCCTCATAATATTAAAAAAATTACAACTTTATAATCTCATATTTCAATAAAACTCTTCTAAAAAAAATCCTTTATTAATAATAAAATAGATTTTTCTTCCTTACAAGTCTCCAAAACCAGCTTTTACAATTATAAAAATTATAAACTCTTTAGCTCTTGTAAAATTGTAAACTTTTCAACTCTTTCCAAAACATTTTAATTTAATTACAAACTCAGCTTATTTACTAATATTATTAATGACATTTAAAAAATAAGTTTTAAAAGTATTAAAAATAATACCTTATATCATTACCCTTCATATCTTTATACAATTTTACAACACAGAACTAACCTATATTTTATTTCTCATATCAAAACACACTCTTCACTTCCAAAATTCATAACAAAAAACCAAAATCAAATAAACTAACAATAATTATTTCAAACACCTTACCAAACATTTTCAAACTAACAAAACTGTCATATCTTTTTTTTATCAAAATACACACTTATAAAGTATTTCACATCTCCAAAAATCAAACAAAACCCATTATTACTGCTTACTCTATCAACTTATACAACTTTCTATTTCTACAAAAACTGTTAACACTCAAAAATCACAATCTTTACAACTATAACAAAAAAATATTACCAATACCCATCTTTTACTAAATTAAAAAATATTCATATATCTATCAATACTTTGTCAAATGCAATTTTTACTTCTACACACAAAAAACAACTAGTTATACTTACCAAAACTTTTTACAAACTTTTCCTTCTTTAAATACACCCCCAAAAATAAAAACAAACAATAACCCCACATACACAACTTTAAAATTAGCCACATTTTTAATACATTAAAATATACACCACACTTTTAAAATTCTCTCTTCCCCCATAAATCAAACAATTATTAAAAAAACACACCACACTTTAAAACACATTTTAAATCAACAACAAAAAAAACCCCTCAAACTACATCTCAAATAAAATGAAACAAAACTTTGCATATCTTCAACTTTTTAAATAACACATTTATAAAACCTAATCCTCCAATTTTTAAACACTTTTCAAATAACACAAAATTTATAAAAAACCATCCAATTTTAATCAAAGACACTGAAACAAAAGTTAAAAACCCATTTCCACTAATAACGTAAAACAAATTGTACTTATATTTCCAAAAATACAAAACCTAAATACAAAAAATATAAAACCATATCACACTCAAACTCACACCAAGAATTCCACAAACAAAAAAACCACACAAACTTAAACCACACAAAACCCCTACAATTTATATCAAACATTCCCTATTCTACCTACAAAACCTACAAATCTTAAAATTTTATATGAATATTTAAACTATAAAAATTATTAATATCATAAAACTCTTTAAACAAAAACAGAATATCCATCATATTAAAAATCCTGAAATATTTGAATTTATAAAACTTAAATATTAAAGAAACAACTTAATACCTTATAATTAACCAATCCCTAAACAAATAATAAAAAATTTACTCTCCACTTCCTGAGCCATTGATCATTCCAGAATCAGATCTAGCCTGTCCACTTTGGTTGGAAAACTGAGATTATGAAACTAGGTACAGATAAATCCTAGAAGAGATTAAATTTAAGAAATTGTTAGTCACTAGTAAAAGCAGTACTGAAAATTTTAAAACTCAGTCTAGCAGTGCCTTGAGGCCAAAATAATTGAATATTTCTAATAAATGCCTGAGCCAAGTATGATCCTGAAATTATTTTCTTACAAGACTATGGCTTGAATGCTCATGAGCACACATTTTTCAAGTATACAATTGCTTTTAATTATCTTTGAATATTTGAAATAATAAAGCTCACAGTCTTTTTCAAAGATATCCAAGTTTATTATTGAAAAAGAAAGTAATAATCAAATGTGCATGATACAGCAAGTAATTGCATTTGTATATGTAAACCTTGATAAAGTAAACAGCATCCCAAAGACAAATTTATGCCATGAGTGTCTTACAATAGTTAATCAAATTTACAGCTTTTTCCTCAGTGAATTCTTTTACTTCTAGGGTACATAGATACTTGTAAAAGCAGTCTTAAAATACAAAATAAACTGAAAGCTGACATGCTGGAGGAACTTACAGCTTTTGCACAGAAAAGTAGATTTCTCCAAAAACATTCTCTCTTACTGTAAACTTGATTTAAGTATTACTTACAAAGTGTAGATTTATGAGTAGAAAAAATAGCTGAAATTTTGTTCTTACTGCTTACTTAGAAATCAAGTTGTATTTAAACATTGCATAAATTTCAAATATATACACATTTTAAGAAATCTCTTATGACTATGATATTGCAAGTTAGCCAGAACTATCAGAGTAAAAAAATGACTGAACTATCTTATTCAGTTAGATTTTACATGAGATTATTTCCAAGAACTGACATTTCAGTTATACTACTCTAGGTAAAAATTAGAGCAAACTGGTTGGAAGATTATTCAATACGAAATTCCAAGTAATTTAAATAGAACATGAAAAGAAAATGTGATCTGATTTTTTATTCATTATTAAAAGAAAAATCATCACGTTCTCAGTGGTTAAAATCTCACTAGCTTTACACTCCATTAGGTTTAACCCTAATTTCTCACCCTGTTGCATCATAACAAGTAGCTCATACCAGTAAGAATGCAAACTCCAGAGAACAGCTAGCAATACAGAGGTTGTATCAAAAAGACAGAATGAGCCAACAGAACTCACACAAAGTCATTTTGGGTGCAGTGAAGAGGAAATACACAATTACATTTCAAGACTACATCCCGGTCCTAGATTTAAAAAGTTCCTGTATACCATGGAATAGTGCAGTTATTTCCCTACTGTTACTTGTTGTGCCATTATAACTTTGTGCTGTGATGGTAACATTGTGCTATTATGGTAATGGCAAGCTTACAACAATCCAAATTTCTAGTAAATGCATTTGCAATGGCAATATCAGATAAAAACTGTCAAAACTAATCCATTATAGAAATTTAAAAATTATACAACTAGGATATTTAGGGTGTATGTGCATGTGTAGGAAGGGACACAATGAGAAAAAACTCTGGTGCTTGGGGAAGTGACTGAAAGGACAGGAACAGCACAGGTAGAGGTGCCCCATCCTGCCTCACACTGCTTCATCCCACCAAGGCATACCAATTTGTAAAAAGCACCAAACAGATTTGTTTGGCATCTCAGTAAGGGACATCCAAAAACAGCCTGTAAAAAAATCTGCTGTAACAGAATTGTCCTGGAAATTGGACTGTCACCCAGAGGGCAGTGTGCAACAAAACAACAAGAATAAATAAAGAATGAGCCAAAGGAGAAAAAAAAAAAGAAAATATCCGGAGGCCTGTCCCCATGCTTCATCCTCAAACCCTTATTTTGCAGAGCCTGATGCAATTCTGGAACAAAACTTGCTGGAGTGAACAGGAGCCCTTTGCTGCCTTCAGCTCAATCTCATCCTCCACATGCTGGTTGCTGAATTTGACCTCAGAGGAACATGTGTTTTGCGGGCATGAGATTAAGTATGAAAGGACTTGGGAAATTTTTTAAGCTACTAGATTTTCTACTACAGGAATATAGGTTAGAATTCACTAAAACACTTTGAAAAAGTGTCACTGTATGCATTTTAGTCAGAAAAAGTATGCATTGGAATCAATGTCTATCTAGAAGTGGAATTCTATTTGAATTCTAGATTCAGTCTTAACATCAAATAATCATTATGAAATGCTGTCCTTTTATTTGTTTCACACTTTACCCCTAAACAAGCAACATCAGCACTTTATGAGGATTCCAAAAAAATATAATGCTTCTGGAAGTACTACTGCATTTTAAGTGATTACTGATACCACTATTTTTATCTCTGTCCATTTTCTTAATAGAAGCTAAATAGAAAATGTGATATTTTTTAAATTTTCCATCAACTTTATCACATTCATAAGTAGCCGTTTGTATAAAATGAGTTTTATTGATAAGGCTATTGCCCTGTATATACAAAAAAATCTAGTTTATAATAGTTTCAAAGAAAATTGGTGACAGTTACAGGCTAACTATACTAATTTGCCTCCAAACAAATTGTGACATATTGCAAAAGTTTGCTAAGTCCCACAATGCCATGTAGGACTTGACAGGTAACACCAATAGATTCCATGGCTCCAGAAATTCTCTCTGGTAACACTCTTAGTTGGAGTCTGCAGTGGAGTAAGCCACAGCAAGGAAAGAGTAGATGTGCATTATCCATATGATTAGACTGATCATCTTAATGGCACATTAAGAATAAAACATCAAAATTTTTGCCTTTCTCCATATTAATACTTGCCCTGAAGCTATGTTTCCCAAGGTATTTTTCCTTCCATATAACTTTTTATGAAGGAAACTTCTTGAAATTTATTAATTTTTCCATTAAGGTATTTATCTACTAACCTATATTCACCAGTCTGTCTAAACATTTTCCTTTTGAGCTTTCCACAGGGCATAATTGAACCTAACTGTCCCTCAGAACACAATTTATGACAAGTTGTTGTTGGAAAGGCACACAGCTGATGTGTACTTCATATTAGTGAAGATATGCACTTCCACAGAAACATCTAACAAAAAAAACCAAAAGCTCACTTATCATTCATCATTGCTATTGAAATTTTAGCCCTGTCACCATTTTCTCTATAAATCCTTTAACAAAAAGGGTTAAGAAAGAATTGAATCATTAACATTGGAAAACATCACCAAAGTTATCAGGTCCAATCTTTGACCAAATATCACCATGACAAATAAATCACAACAGTAAGTGCCATGCCCAGTCATTTCTTGAACACTTCCAAGGATGATGACCCCACCGCCTCCCAGGACAGCCCATTCCAATGCTTTCAATGAGAAAATTCTTCCTGATGTCCAACCTGAACTTCACTGTGAGCAGCCTGATATGATGTTCCCTTGTCTTGTCCCTAGCTGCCTGGTAGAAGAGGCTGACTCCCATCTTGCTACAATCTCTTTCCAGGTAGTTGTGGAGAGTGATAAGACTCCTCTGAGCCTCCTCATGTAACTAAACAATGACAGCTCCTTCAACCACTCCTCCTATGATTTAATCTATCCAGATGCCTCACCAGCTTCACTGCCCTTCTCTAGGCATGCCCCAGCACCTCAGTGTCTGCCTGGAATTGAGGGGCCCAGAACTGGACACACATTTCAATGTGTGGCCTCACTCACATACAGGGAGACAATCCTTCTGCAGAGCCTTCTTGGCCTCCAGCAGATCAACAATCCCACCTAACTCAGGATTGTCTGCAAATTCACTGAGGATACCCTTGATCCCCTTGTCAAGATCATGGATGAAGACATTAAACAGAACTCGCCCCAACAGAACTGGTTCCCTTGGGGAACCACTCCTGACCAGCTGCCAGCTAGATAAACAGCATTCACTGCCACCCTCTGGGCATGGACATCCAGCACTAACCCAGCTAAGAGTGCACCTGCTGCCACTTTCTCCAGAAGAATGCCATGGGTGACAGTTTCCAAGGCTTTACTGAACTCATTATAAGGTTTGCCTTGTTTCCAAATATCCAGGGAATATCCAATATCTCAATCAGTGTGCTGTGGGAGCCTGAGCTGAACATTCAGGCAAGCCTCAGCACTCAGCTGTGAATACTCTTAATGCCTCCCTCTTTGTAGAGACAAATTTAGGGGAACCTCTCATTAGGATGGCCAGTAAAACAGAATCCTTATCTTCCTTTTTTTATTCACCAAAATTCAGATCTCACACATTAGGCACAAATTTAGAATAAAAAGTTGTAAGAAATGAGGTGTATATCACATATCTGGACTTGGTGCCATTTCTGAAATGGAAATTTCTTTTGTCTGAAACAAGATGCAAAATTTGGTTAAGAATAATTGACACATTTTGAACAAATACTTTGTATATAAAAAATCTAGTTGCTCATGCAGTCTCTCTAAGGGTGCATGCATAGAGCAAACTTTTCATAGATTAGATCTGCAATGATCTAAAGCATATTTGCACAAACTGAGGTTCTAAAGCTTTGTCAAATTTCACAAATGCAGCCTGCATGCACAGTCTAGTCATACTAGTCATTTGTTTGAAAAGACCATATTTAGCATATTAAAAGATCATTCACCATTCAAAAAATACATTATTCCTGAGGACAGTGTGTGCCTTGTTCTTTAGGAAAATAACATGCAGTCAATGGAAACAGCATACTGAGCAAAATCTAGGAAAAAAGTTTCTGAGCTTAAGCAACTGGCTAGATGGTGGCAAGACCTTTACACACTGTTGATGTCCTCCAAATGTAAAGGACACACAGAGTGTTTCTCCAAATTTCTTGTGCTTTCCCAGTGCATAAACTGCACCATGTCAGATCTACATACTTGCCTTTCATATACTTCTACATTCCAGTGTTAAAAAAAATCATTATATATATATAAATATATATGCATGCAAATCTCAAATACAAAAAGATTGTTTAATGTGGTTTTTCAAGTCCAATTGGAATTTGCCTAGGTATGTATTGACACGTGCCAATATCAATAGCAGAAACAAGAAAGTATAAAATAATATTTCTGATTTTTGCTTAATTTTACCCTACACCTTTATAACTTGGCCCAGCCAAGACATTTTGTTTTTAGAGAAAATATTGGAAAGAGCTCATTTGTGACCTTCTGAAGCATTCAATTATCACTAGGTGGCACACAAATAAAAACTGTGACACAGTAAAAGCTGTCAAACAGTGCTTCACAGTCCATAGAATGAGACAGAGAGACAATAAATTAAATCAAATCTTGTGATTCTATTAGCACTGAAGAGAGTGCAGTAATTTTTTTCTGATAACAACTCCTGAGGGACTTAATGCACAACCCAGAATATGAAGGAATGAAACAGCCTTTCCAAAACACGGCAAGCCGAGTTCAATCAGCCCTTTATCACAGAGTGAATGGGCAATGTACCTGATTGGGCCAGATCTTCAAATTTTTCTTCAAATTTCTTTCCTCCTTTCAGGCAGTACTATAGATACCCCTACAAGTGCCTTGTCTTGCTTGTAATGGAGCTGAAATTAACCAAGAAATCTCATTAAAGTGGTGAAACAACTGAAGAACTTAAAAGTCTGATGTTAGGCTCTCTGGATACAACAAATCCTAGTTAACTACTTTGATGGGCTCTTGACTCTTGAAATTAATTTCAGTGAAATAAGATTATTTCACTGAAATATTATTATTGTGCTAATAAATACGAGTGAATACTTGACACATGATTTTGCTGCAGCTTTATCCCTAAAAATAATGTCAAAATTTGTAGACTTTGTAGCTACTGTGCTTTGCTAACTCTTTGTTTTTCAGATTTTTCTCATCCAATACAGAGAAGCATTATTTAAAATTGTACAAGAGAAACAGAACAACTGTAACACTGTTTATCCATTCCCTTCCCTGCAAGGTATCCCTTCAAATTTGTTTAAACATGAAGTGCTTTTCCTGTATTATGAAATGTTAGTAACAGACAATTTCATCACCAAAATGTGACTATTAACCACAAGCAACACTGCAGTATGCTGTTTGCACATAAAAACTAAAATATGATGCTTCAATGAACATCTACTTTTTTAGTGATTTTATCAAAAAATTCCTCCCCAAAGTGTACGAGGACATACTAATAATAATAGTAAATCTATGAGTAACCATTGCGTGTGTATGCATTTATATACAATCTGTATACATATTTGCCTGTAGCCAGCTCCAATGTTATGACATATTTAGACCAATAAAAGAAGCATACATTACAACAATATTTACTATTACAATAAGAAGAACATTGTTACAAGTTGCTCTTCTCCTTCCCTGAACAAGCAAGCCACGATGTTATACTGTATGTCTCATATATATCAGCAGAAGCTTGCATCCTATAAAGATATAATTGCATTTTGAAAAGAAAATAATTTGCACTGCATGGGAGTATTTCAAGTTAGCACTCTGTGAAGTCATGGAATCATTGCCCAGGCAGATCAAGAGGAACAGTAACATAGTATGAAAATGACAGTTCTTTCATTCTGGAAGCATGTGGAGATGGCCTTTCACACACAAAAGTGCAAAGACAAATCAACAGCTGTGTAATTTTCAAACAGAAAATTACCTTCTCCTGGTGCTGCTGTTTTCTTTCTGAATTTGGACTTTTTGGTTTTCAAGATGGGTAAATTAATGATACTGATGTGCAAATCTCAAACTGCATAGTATATATTTAGCAGCCACAGACCCCTTTTTTTAGGGTAGGACCACATCCACAATCTCAACAAGAGACTAGGACAAACCTGACAAAACAGTAAGCCTGAAGGATCAAGTTATAGCCACAAAGGCAACAACTGCTCTTTTCTTTAGAGTTATTACAGATAGAGCAGAGCAATCAGAAGCTGTAGAAGTAGTGTAGATCACGTAAGTTGGTTTTAGTCATGCCGTTACTCTATAGGTTCACAGGTAATTTTCTGTTTCCATCATACTGATAGTATCTTCATAAACAGCATGAAAATCCATTGCCTGTTTTTAAAACAATGTCCAGATTTTCACTCTGGACAAATTTCTGAATGCCAATTGTCATTGGAGCTCATCACAGACCAGTTACAGGTAAGGCTTTTCATTGACATCACTGGAAACATCTCAGTGGCCACCAAAATATGCAACTGTACTGCCTAGCAAGAACATATATACACCATCACCAAACCTCACACTGATGCCAGACTGACTTCATTTTGTAAATTCACTCTCCAATTTCAAACAGTGTTTTTGTTGCAGCTTGGTAATGACTAAGGCCATTCATGGTGATACTGTTTTCCATTATTTTTCCTTTCTCTTTGCAAATGTTCCAGTTCAGCCTCATACATCATTTCCTGGACTAGGTATTTCTCTCTTCTCATTCTGTCACACAAGTCTTTCGGTATGTCTGGAATTAGGTAGGCAATGAAAGACTTTATTCCAAAAACAAGGTGCTGAAAAGAAAAACAAAAACAAAAATAATTGCTTAACATATAAATAAATATTCTTTTGTAGGACTACACTTTAGAGTCTAAATGTCTGTGGCAAAACTGACTGAGATTAAATTTGTGACTGAAAGGCAACTCCTTTAGTTTTTTTTAATAAAAGCACTCCTGTGGGAGTAAATGAGTGATCTAAAAGAAATGGGCAAATGCTGAAGTTTTCTAAAAAGGAAAACAAAGGACAGAGTTAGTGACTTAAATGAAGATGTGACTACAGGATATGCTAGGTTGATCAACAAATACCAACTCTACCTACAAGCAGTCTTTGGTCAGGGCTTATCATGGAAATAGGTAATCAGATTCCTGGGGAGTATGCAATACATACTTCTAACTTAGTATACATGATTCAACTTTTATCCTATCCTAGAATCATGGATCCTTTTCCTGACACACATTCTATCTTGTAATAACTCTGCCTAATATACACAAAACTTACACTTAGTTTTCGATAAAATAGGAAAGACTGGGCAAGGAACCAACAGGATGTATAAGATGACTGTTAAAGAAATATCATTTTAGAGGAGTTCTACAGCAAGTGCATGCTCTGCCAACTCTTTTTGAAGTAGTTGATAGTCAACAGTTTGGGGAAGACAATTTTTTTTCCTCTGTCTTGACTGTAATGAACAAACAATTGATTAATATTACAATTTACTTATAGGATGACTATAAAGAATCAACTCAGACTTACAAAACGTAGAAAGGAATTGCTCCTTTCCACAACTAACCTCAAATACTATGATGAAGGCCAGTCGTGCTGCCAGGACATGCCAAAACTGCAAAGTGAATTCATATGGAGTTGAACTCCATGGTGGGGCTCTGTAGTCTCTGTACCTGCAAAGCAAAGAGAAACCCAGTGAGTTACCCTGTGCTCTCTTGAGCAATTAATACTTTTGACATGGTCAAGTGGTCTTTAGTTCATCCCAGATCTGGCTAAAAGGAGAGAAACTGAAGTGAAAGTACACTTCAAGAGGTGTTAAACTGAAAGGGAGAGCAACTGTCCAGAATACAGGCTATTAAATAAAGCTGTTTGTGAGACAGTACTTTGTGCTTTCAAAAATCCAGAGGAAATAGTTTATTTTATTGTTACAAAGCTGGAGTGTTAGGTGTCTTGATTCTAAATTGGTTCCTGTCTTTGTTTATAAGCATTTGAGAGTCTCCAGACAAAGTTTGCATAAATGAAATATGTTTCTAATTTAAATTAATGCTCACTGCAAAACTAAGTCAGAAAACAGGAGTGCACTCATGTCCTATTTAATTTTTATGCTGTATTTCTTATATTCATCTTGCATAACTGTTTGCAATCTCAACCTGGGTTAGAGAGGTAACAAAAATTTAAACTGGGTATTTAATTTATTGACCTCAGAATGCTTAGCAAAATTGAAATGAGGATTTTTACCCTTATTGGCAGCTGGTAAAACTTTTAAATTAAATAATTTATAGAGACATGAAAGATAATGGCTTGCGAGAGTCCTACAAAAACTTCAAACATAAATTTCCAATATGTTAGCAGTGTATCTTCCCACACATTTCCCAAAAGGTTCTTTGCACCTGAGGCTGCCATGTTGAACAAACATGAACTCCAATGCTTTTAAGGGCAAAAAAGAAATGCCGCCAATATCAGCACTTTCAATTTACTGTCTGAATTAATGTCCATGGCTGTATTACAGTAAGTGAGAGCAAGGAAACATACCTACAGTATCCTGAGTAGCCCATCCCAAGTTCACTCAAATCAAATACTGACAAACTGCTGTTGACATATCCTTTTAAGCATCTGAAAGAAAAAGCCATATGGGCAGCACTTTCTTCATAAAGTGGCAATACAATAAACATCCTGTATGTAAACATATTCTGCTATCAGATACTGTGAGCATAATACTTTATTTGCTTATCAGGACAAAAGCAATTCTAAAATTTCATGCAGAGAAGCAAAGTTTACTGGAAAAAAAAAAAGACTAACATCTGTTTCAGGTGTTTAAAAGTCTATTTTCAGCACTTCTTATGGTTTTGCTTCTTACCTGCTGGGAGATGCAAACCAAAACTTGTTGCTACACTGCTTTTAACTGTTTTGTAAAATTACTGAACTTTGAAAGATGGATAGAAAGGCAGAGAGCAGAATAATTTAACATCCTTGCAGAATCAGCCACCAATAATGCAGCATATCCAAAAAATAACAGGTTTTATGAGTTTTCACCAACAGTAAAATGAACAGTGTATACATACCAAATAGTTCTATTAAAGGCAAAAATGTATTACTACTATTAATTACAGATATCATATAAATATATTGATTTATGACTGTAAGAGTGAATTTTTGCTGTTGCTTGGAAACCACAGACAAGAAAGATATCCTATCTTCTTTGAAATCTGTCTTGTTACTTAACTAAAGCACATTTGAAAGTCAAAGAAGATTTAAGAAGAGATGCATAAGGAATCCTTTTATAATCTGAATCTTCAGATTTGCTGTAATACCTCAAATCACTACTGACAAAAGAAGAAATAGAATTACATAGTTCTCTCTTAAATGGGTAGGGTGAATTAAGCACTAACATTTTTCTGATACTGTCTCTTTTCATCCTATCCCACTTCATTATTTTTGCCCTTAAACTCTCTTTTCCTCTGACAGCTCAGGAAGGGTAAATCACTATTTTTGGTAGCATATCTGTGTGTTTGGGAATGTATTGGGAGAAGACAGTATAGACCTACTGCAGATAAAAGCTTATCGAGAAAAGATCTGAAAACTGATGCACTGTACAGACTTTTCTGTTCACATTCAGAAGGAAAGAGATGATTTTCCACTTATATAAACAGCTACGTTGTAAACTCTTTGGAAGGGCTGACTTACACTTCACATCTGGGAAGGTTTGCACAGATGTAAAAGAAATGTATCTGATGTATGTTATCATAGAAATACAGCAGTAAATTGTGCACCGAAAAAATACATGTATATATAAAGAATATCTTAATTACTTTTCTTGTCTGTACCCTTGATCTGTACAGGGACCATATTTGTATGCATAGACAAAACGTGGAATGTAATCAGAAGTAATGGCAATAACAAAGGCATTGGTGATGACAGCCAGAACTCCAATTCCTTCCAGAATTCCATACCAAATACCTAGAAACAAGAGAAATTTCAACAAAATAGTCAGTTTTTCATAGTCATATAAAGTCATACTAGTGATAATAAAATCATTATTAGTCATACAGTTTTCCTTTCTTGTTGAGAATGAGTTGAGACAGAAAAACTAGTCAAGATGAAGCCATGTTCCCACATTACAGCCACCACCCGTGTCACCAAACTGAAATCTTACAACAGGGCACACCCTACTGAGAAGATACAGCCAAGCAACAAAGGCATATCCGCCATTTTTTGTTATAAAGGCCAAATAGGAGGTTCTGAAAAGAGGTTTCTTATTTAATTGAATTTTAAATTAAAAGTTAATTCAGCCCTTTTATTTAATTTCTAAATTAAATTTATTTTAGACCTAGAGTTCCACAAATCAAAAGACTAAAATATTTTTAGCCTGTTTTCAATATTCAAACTATTATGATTCTTTATTGTAAATGGGAAACAACCTTGAGGAATCCTCTTTGCAAAGCAACTAACTACCCTTTTGTTGCCAAAAAGAAAAGTTGTCACTGAAATCTATTGGTTATGTTACCATCTTGATACATGAAACACTTCAGGGGTTAAGCTGTTCTCGAGAGGAAAACCCAAAGAGAGGGTAGCTGACAGTGACAGCCATTAGCTTCTCTCACCTATATCTGTTGCTCTTGCAGGCATGGGTCTTCGCCACTGAGTGACAAACTTGTATGCATCTAACCTGATTTCTATGATGTTGTTGAGCAGTGCCAGGAGAGGTGCCAGGGGGAAAGCAGCAACAAAAATGGTGGTAAAGCCAAACTGTAAAACTAGACAGGCATTTCTGTGGTTAGAAATCAGAAAGTCAAAAAATCTTTTAACAATGCAACATAGTTCTACCTTCTGAAGAAAACCAACACCTTCCAAATTTGCTCACCCATCTCTAAATATTCGTCCATTAAACCATGGAGATTCATAGGTTGCAGATTCCAATCTTTTTCCCATTGAGGTAGAGAAATTTTATTCTCCATTGATTGCCCTTTTCTCTTCATTTTGCGTCGTGACCACCAATTCTGTAATAAACTTTATTAGATAAAGAGAGTATTAATGACTGCTCTGAGCAGAGATTTAAAATATGTTCTGGTACTGTTTTGAAATAAGTGGACCTATTTTGAACAGCATCTGGATGATGACTTAAATATTTTATGGGAAATTGTACAACATCATCTTTGATACAAAGCAAACAAAGCAAAAAAAACTTATAAAATATCTTATAATTCTGCATTATAATTTTGATTGTATTTAATGTAGCATGTTTGGTATTGTACAAATAAGCTTTTCAGAATATTGAATATGCTTGCATGGACTTTTTTTATTTTGGTAAGATTTACCTGAATGATTAAATTAAAGAAAAAAGAAAAAAAATCATGCATAGCAAGAGCACTAAAAAGTAAATAATGCTTTATTTCAATCCTGTTACAGACAAATCAGGACAGTGGAATTCAGTAACAATGCCATAGTAAAATATACTGAATGGTAGAATACATATATTTTTGAACAAACCTAAAGATCTAGATGCTCTACAGAATATTTATTTTCTTAAAGCAGGAAAAAGTATTTAAAAAGGTGTTGCTGAATGAAGGTGAAAATATTTAAGACTATTCTTCATAAAGCTTTGCAAAGATCTTTCCACAAAGTAGTTATAAATATTAAGGAGATAGTAGGTTCATGAATTAAATGGGTTATGTAAATGAAAAATATTATCTAGTACTGACATATGGACCAACTAAAGACTACTATTTGTTTCCAGATATGGAAAAGAGATTAAAGATGGGAAATAACTTTCTTGTAAGTATTTTGATAAAAAGGCTGCTTTTTTTTTCTCAAGCTAATTTAGTGTTTGGCTCTTAATCTCTCTTGCTACTGGAAGAGCAGTTTGTTAGTTTGTTTGAAAGATAAACTATTGCCTATATTGCCAACAATGGTTTTGTCAAAACAAAACATTTCTTTCTGTAACAGAATACAAGCATGTTCTAAAATAAATTTTAGACAAAGTTAACATCCTGCTTGGCTGAGAAGACAGGAAGTCTGGCAGTTCAAGTAGGTTTCTCAATTTCAAAAATCTTCATTCTACAACATACAGTGCGTTGTCTCTCATGTGCAGAACAACTGCAATTGCATGTTCTGAGCAAAATCCTTTCTAACATATTTTCAAGGTTGAGACTTCAATTTCATCAATATTTGATGATTAATATTTTACTGGACACATATTTTTTCAGTTTCAAGAGAAGTATAAGACTCTTAGCTCATTATTAAATTCAGAGGCTGAACATATCTTTATTATGGAAGATGAAATCATAATACGTAACTGAGATGCTTAACATACCCTGAGAATCTTTATCTTAGAGCAGAAGTTAATGCTTTCCTTGGGAATAAAGTGACAATAACTGAGGTGCAATGCGTGAAAACATTCTCCAAACATAAAACCATTTTTCCCTAGCACTGAATCATGCTAACATCTATTATTGTTTTCAAAATTAACATCTGAACTTACGGATAGCCTAGTTCCATGAAGTTGTTCCACATTTGTTTTAAAACCATAATAACTCCCATTTGTAAGCATAGATCTATCAAGCAGCCACTAGGATGACACTGAAATGAAGTAGAAGAGATCAACAGCTAAAATCAGAGAACTCTTTTTTTTTATTATTTGTTCAGAGTGTAAATAAAAATATTAAGTATATATGTTGAAAAACACTAATCTTCATCTGCAAAATATTAAAATAAAGGTTAATAAAATAAACATTAAGAGACTTCAGCTGAACAACCTTTTGACATATTGTTAGATATTAGATCATATTGCCTAATTTAAAGGTATGTGTACTAGATATATATGATACATACCATTTCACTTAGACCAGTAAGTACTTACTCAGTTAAAAAAAATGGAGCAATATTTCATTTGCAATAATCTAAGTCTAAAGAGAGAATTTCTGGTACTGGTATTTTATCTATATCTATCTATCTATATATACAGCCATATTAAAATGTTAAGTAATTACAGAACAATTTTTCAATTAATTGACTACAAAGCTATGATATTTTACTCTGTGCTACCAAATTTCAGTAGAAGAAATCTGTTTTTCAGAGAAAAGAGGAAATTTCACCATACTGGTGATTTGCAATTCTAACATTCAAGTTAAATTTTGAAAATATTATTTTTCTCCTTTCAGAATTCCATAGAATTATAGATTATTTTGGGTTGGATAAGGACCTCTTAAGATGATCTATTCCAAACTCCTGCAATAAGTATGGCCATTTTCAACTAGATGAGTCCCATCCTGTGGCGGTGTGTATTTTTATAGGATTTTATTATGTTTTGTTTTAAGAGTTAGGCATTTAATGTTAGGTAGTTTCAGTTGGTATGTTCCTTGTAACCCCTATTTCCTCCCCTCACAATGGTTTCTCCCAGGCTGTTTTCCTGCCACTTAGTTGTCCCTCAAAGTGCCAAACTCCATGTTCCTCCCCTCATATCCTTAAAAGGTTCTGTCAATCCAAGTTGTGCTGCCCACCTCCCCTGTCTGTCATTGTAGCCACACCCACTTGGTTCTCAAAAGTTCCGTGTGTTGCCCCTTCCTCAGCACCCCATTGGATTGTTAAGCCTGCTCCCTCCCCTGTGCTGTCCTCATTGGATTATCCCCGTTGTGTTCTCCTCCCCTAAGGGCTCCCCATTGGATGTGAGCTGTTTCCACCCCTCATACCCTCCCACCCTTTATAATGTGCTGCCACCTTCATTCCTGTGCCTTACTTGTCCCTGAACCCTCCTAGGTAATAAATGACCTTGGAATTCATACAAGTGAATTTGTATGATTTTTTTCTGTTTGTATTTATTTTCTCTGTTTGTATTTTCTCTTAATTTGCATGAATTTTCTCTGTTTCTTTGCTTCAGTCCATCGTTTCTGCTTGGGAGCTGTGATACCCACGCCACAGCCAGCCACAGGGAGCTGCCATCCCTGTGAGCACTGCCACCCCAGAGGTCTCGGGAGAGATACAGGGGCAGCCACTCCTGTCGTGCCCTCCGGCCACAGGGAGCCTGCTAGCTGGGAGACCTCCACACTGTGGCCGCAACCGGGCAGAGACACCATCCAACCTGACTTTGAATGTTTCCAGGGATAAGACATCCATCACCTCTCTAGATAGCCTGTCCCAGTGTCTCACCATCCTAATAATAGCAATTTTTAAAAAATCTCTTCCTTACACCTGGTCTAAATCTAGCCTTTCTTAGTTTAAAATCATTAATCCTTGCCCTGTCTCAACAGGCCCTACTAAGTTTGTCCCCTTCTTTCTTACAAACACTTCTAAGTATTCAAAGGCAGCACTAATATCTCCTTGGAGCCTTCTCTTCTCCAAGCTGAGTACCTCCAACTCAGCCTGCCTTCATAGGAGAGACGTTCCAGCCCTCCAATTCATTTTTTTGCACCCCTCTGGACCCATTCCAACAGATCTATTATTTTTCTGTGCTGACAGAAACTTATCAAGTTGAATAAAAAGCTGATGGCTTTATGTCCTCTACCCAAAAATTCCAGGTACCAGGAGATTCCAATCTTGTAGGATTCCCAGTGCTTCTGAGGTAAGGGGCTTATTACTGATGGCTTTTCCCTAAGGCAGAGGCAGAAATAACTTGTGTGGCCTTGGGCAGGGTCACTCAGCACACTGGAGAACAGAGAAGGAAAAACCCATCTCCTACATCCTATCCTTTGCTAGAAATAAGAGTTTAGTATTTGCTGCACTCGGAATAATAAAATCTTTAAAGTGGGCTTCAACCACTTCCTTTTTACTCATGGAAATACCACAGGAACACAAACCAGGACTGCTTACCTCTTCCAGCCTCCATCTGTTAAAAAGCTTGTTGTACTTTCCTGGGCGGCCTGCAAATCTGGAAAATAAGATTTCTGTTTCTCAGTGAACATTCCAGAAACAATCTGTATCAGCAGCTGTTTCATAACATCCACTGAATTCAGGAAATATCAACAGAATAAATCGCACAGGTTTAAATCTGGTGTCCATAGGATACGGAAGTTTCAGAACGCTAAGAAAGACCACCATTTTGCAAGGTTCTGTAGGTTCTGCAGGAATGGTGTGACCATAACAAAATTGAAGATGAAGCGAGGTTAGATCTGTGCTGTATCTCATGCTCTATCTAACCTAAAGATACGCACAAAAATTGGAGCCAGAATTTTTGCTTTCTACTCTTGTATAAGGTTTGCCAGACAATATTTACGATTTGTTTCTGAATACAGAAATGCATTCTTGGAAATGTAACTCAAGGGGCATAAACAAGAAAAGATCAATAAAGCCTATTAACACAGGGCTAAATACAGACCCACATCTAAGAAGTGGCTGCATTTTCAAAAGTTCTGTGTTCTTGTTTAGTAGGAAAGTCGTTTACACCCCCATAATGAAAGTAGAATTTTTACCCTCTAGTTTCATGAGTAAACATTTCAAGGGTCCAACCCTTACATACATCTAGAAATATTTAGTCTTTTAATTATGCCCAGAAACCAACTAGTACCTAAACCTTACAGTTCAAACTGTTACTGTATGTTCTTCAGATCTATTAAATTAGTGAAGATTTTGAGTTCTGTGCAAGTTTTCTTTTAAGTGCAATTGGAAAAGATAATTTACCTGCCAAGAAAAAAGGCGATGTAGAAGATGGAGCTGTTCAAGTTGACAAACTGAAAGAGGAACATTTTCAAGGCAAAGCTGTTTTCCCACTCAGATTCTGTTCTAGGATGCTCTTCAGAAAGACACAATATACATTATATAAACAAAGATGAAATTGAGTTATGCATAAGTTTGCTTACAAATCAATCAACACTAACAAAACAAGGGATGGTTTTAAGCCATGGTGCCCCATCATGATGCAATTGATTTCTCTGCATTGCCCTACCTCAGACTATGTTGATTCTATGTGAAAACTAGTACATAGAAGCCCCTTAGTTCAGCATAAATCATAATCCTATGGGAAGATACCTGTTTCACTTCCATGAAAACATTTGGAAACAAGGGCAAATTTTTATCTTAAGATTAAAAGTATCTTGATTCAAAAGAAAAATTCAACACAAAAAAACCCACAAAACCAAACCAAACAACAACAAAATCTCAAAACAAAGAAACCCCAAACCAAACAATGAACCAAAACAACCCAACACCCCAAAAACCTGAAAGAACTTGGAATCAGTAGAGCTGCCAAAGGAAGCAGAGGTGAAAGAACCACTTAAAAGTTACTTGATTCCTCATCCAAGCTTCTCACCTTCTAAATACTTCTGTAAAACCTTTACTTCATCCTCAAGAGTTCCCTTTCATAATGCTTGTGGAGTGCCAAACAGTTTATAATTCAATGAGCAAAGGACAGAGGTTCTTTCTTGGCTTCTTTTGGAAAGAAACACAGGAATGTATAGCAGGGCTACAAGCGTTCCATGTGGGTCTTCCCTGGAACTCTTTCCTTAAGGTTTGTAGAACATTATGTCTGAATTAGAATTTGGTGATAATATTTACAAATTAATTTTTACAAAATCCATCTTTGTTGGACATATCAAACTTGGAATATAGTACATTGGTAGAAATTTTAAAGCATGTCAGTTGTAAAAGCATATTATTTTAAGTCTACACAGCCCGTATTTGTCAGTTAAAATTTGTACTACTTAACTACTCTGGTCTACAGATTACTAAATTTGGATAGAAATATACAGGATACTACAAGCTTTACATAAGGACAGCTGTTTCCAGAAGGTTGTTCTCTTCTGATGTAAAACACAAAGAAGATGAGGTACCTATCTGAAACACCTAATGCTCCATATTATGTTTAATTCAGGAAAACTTTTTGGAAAAAAAATTTTTAATGTATTTTGGGAAAAAACTTGCTTATACACTTAATTATTTTCTTTCCCATTCTATGACACATAACAATAAAATATATTAAAATTAATAGAAATAATTTTTATATGAAAGAATACTTTAAAGTATTTTATTAATTCGAGTAAGTTGACTATAAATTCTAAATTTTTCTAATCTGTTCTACTGCCTGTTAGGTGAAGCACTATAAAGTTTTGAGCATCTCATTACTGTAACCAAAAGAGGGAGCTGTGGAATTTAAGCAGCCAGCTGGAATTTAACCAAGACAAGATCACTTGTGTATTTTGACATGGACTAAAAGTGAGCATGTAGAATGAAACACTAAATAGTAACACATTGACACAGCCAGAGATCTTAAATTCTGTCTTTGCTTTCTTGTAATCTATAATCTAGAAAGCTTTATGACTGTGATTGAATCATAACTAGAGGCTTCAGTATAAAATTTTAATGTTACAGAATTGGAGCTACTTCAAAATTCATGACTTAACATTTTTATCTGGGACAACTTAATTTTATCTTAACCCATTCTCTTCCATCTGAAAGATAAAATTAAAAATGAATAAAAAATAAGCATTTGGGGAAAATGGAAAAAAACCCTTAGCATGCTAAGAAAGAATAAATTTTGACTTTTGCTTGAAAATAAGATTACTATTTTTCAGTGTATACTATGAAACACTAAAAGTAGAAGAATAAATTCCTTAGTTTTATTTTATTTCCTCGGTGAAATAATAATTTCTTTTCTTTCTGTGATATTTCTCACTTGCTTAGGGAAATGCCAGAAACTTACTTCATAGATGAAGTTTTCAAAACACTTTTTTAAAGGTAAATAAAGAAGTATACTATAAAGGTATATGCCACAGCCAGCAAAAACCACACCATTAGTAAAGACCTACATACCTAAGTCTGTCAGGAGATAGGCAACTTTTTCATACACCTAAAAAAGAAATTAAGTGGTGTAAGTACAGGACAACCTGGCTGTTGTGATGACAAATCCACAATGAAAACAAGCATCAAAAGCATGGTATTCTCTTGCTCTGTAGCATCAAGATATTGCAGGACAGTTCTCCTTTCCACGAATACAGATACTAGCTGAGGATCAGCCTTGTACTGAAAACTTTCCTCTATATATATTGACTATCTCTGGTCTTTATTTTAAATCTAATTCAGCCCCTGGCAGTTGCCAACTCTGAAATATATTTCCTTGACTATACTATGAGTAGCAAGTTATTTTTGATAGCTTTGCTTATTCACTTCAATATATGTTTTATGATGTGGAGTGATCATATATAATAACACAAATAACTAGAGGACTCTGATTGGAAGAATTATTTCTTATTGCAGCGAGTGCAAGTCCTTAAGAGGACTAAAAGCCAATATTTGCTGGGTTATTATTCCTTTTTATCTGTGCTTGCATGGGAACACAAAGATGAAAAATAATAGTGCAGCTGAAATAAGAGTTTCTGTCTGTGTAATGCTATAAGAGCAAATTATTAAACCTGTGCTGTTACATGACAGAAAAGACACCAAAATCATATATCACAGTGATTCTAGGACTGTGCAACACTGATATCACAGCTGCATTTTAATAAGAAGTCATTAATCAAAAACAACCTAGAAACCAAATACTCAGTCAAGAAAATAATGTAGTTCCAATTAGAAATCTATTGCAAAATGCAATAATAAAAAAATACAAATAAAAGCAGCAATCTGTACCCCTGTAACTTGGTGATATAAGCAAAGATGTGCAGTGACAAATTACAGAGGAATTAGAGAAAAACATCAACAAACATTGTATCAGAGGAGGAAAATCCACTGTAATACTAGCTTCATACACAGCTGCATGAACATGTATATATCTAATACATGATTAACTCAGTAAGCTTGTAAAAATCACTCTTTAAAATTAATTGCTCCTTTAAAAGAACAGAAGACTTACAACATTGAGTGACATGATGATCATAAAATTGATACAGACTCCAGTGCCAGATGTTGCAAACTGCCAATACTTCTTGATGAAATACCACTTGAAAGAAGCAAACTGCTCCATGGCTACCAGCCGATACACCACAACTGCAAACACTGCAGTAAGGACCAGTGAAATCTACAGGTATGTATTTATGAGTAGAGGTATTAGAACAAAAGGAATCACATCTGAAATAATATCCACTGAAATAATAAAACAAGTGTTTTAAAGATTGATATTTGTTTTGGAGAGCAGAATTTGAGAGAACAAAAAACAAAGATAAGTTAAAACATTTCTTTACTATTCTTTTCCAATATAACTATACTCTATCTTGTGAAACAAAGAGGTCCCTGAACAAGCAGTAAGACAATCAGTTTTGCGTATATTACGTAAATCCACTAATCTTAATGAATGCTCATGGTGAGTTACTATTTACATCAGAATAAGATGAATTAAAATACAATAGTTCTAATATCATTAAACATCACCATGAAGAATATTCCTGAGACAGACACCATCAGTCGACTGAGCTTATCAGGGAAAGGTTGAAAAGGTTCAGGTTTTCCTGTGATGGGATTTACTCTTTCCACTTGAGAATATTTAGCTTCAAACTGGGGACGCAGCTCTTCCTGGAACGACAGGGTGGATTCCATTTGCGGTATTACTTCTCTCAAGAATCAGACATACATGTGCTACAAAGTAGAACATTATACTGATATGGATGGTTTTTTTATAATGCTACAACTCAAATACCTAAATAATTTGCTCTTTTGAAAATCCTTGGAAGCAGTGCCAGAGTGCAACAAAGAACAGAAACCACAGGAGCCTTCACCACTATTTGTGGGTGTTAAAAAGTATCATGGGTCACATTGCTGACTTAGACACTAGATTGTCTGCGAAAATTGATAACACAACTATAAATTAGGCCCAATTATGATGGTGTTGTTTGTGTTATGAGAGCATTTATTAAAAATAGCCAGAAGCTTCTATCTACTCATCCAAGCTGTAAAACAAGTGAAGTCTATTGACTTAAGCTGCAATTAAATCACCAATATAGATAAATTACAGCTATACTTGCTAGTGATTAATGGAATAAAAAAAAAATTATTACTGCTGATGCTGATAGCAGAATATTCAGGGATAAGCTATGCCTCTCCAAGGATACAAAAGCCAGTTTCTGTCTTGTTGCTTGTCTTGGTTCTATTTTTATGCAGGATCAGGAATTTCCAGAACCAGAAACCATGGAGCTGAAAGGCATCTGTGCTGACATCAGAAGCAGCTCCTGTCCTCTCTATGGGAAGTATTTGCACTCAGTTTTTCCAAGGATACATTTAATAAATGTAGAATTATATTTGGAATTATAACATTAGTTGGGAAAGGCAAGGTATCCTTGTACAAACTCAAGCATACCTTTGCATTCTGCAACTAGTACTATCAATACAAATATGATCTGAATGACAAACTCAGATGACTGACATACAATATGAATCGATATTGAGACTTTAACCACACTGATAGCAAGGCTTTACATGTTTATTTCTGTTTCTTCTTACCTCCTCATCTTCCCAGTCTATGAGGTCCCAATCATAAGTCAATACAGCTCTCCGTCTTTTCCAAAACTCTAGAAAGACTGTTGCTGTGGAAAACAACTGTACTTTAACTACAGGGGGGAAAAAAGGGCCATGCAGATCTTAAGAAAATCAGCAATGTAACATATCATTAGCCACTATCTGACAGTTTTCCTCATAGAATCTGAAACTCTAAGTAGCTTTATGATAACCCCTGTTAAATTTAAAACACTATTTAGCAATGTTTTCTGAAAATCATATTTTTGTTGTCTGCAGTAGCTGTACAGAGATAGGTACATGTCAACATGAGACACTGCCATCCCTTTAAATTCATCATTTTGCTTTTCATTTTATTCAAAACATAGAATCTTCTCTGGAAGAAACAAGGAAACACATACACAGTGATATCTATTAATAAAGAGCCAAGAACAATCTCATTTTATTCAGTTCAAATACGACAATCTCACTTCTTTCCAAGCTATACAGTTTTATACTGCAGCAGTTTTGCTACTAGAATAATTCTTTAGACAATTATTTCTAAACTAGGTGTGAGACCATAATCAGATTGTCCATGTACTTAGGGGTTTTAAATAACTCCAAATTTCCAGAACATTGTAGTCTGCCACTGAGGATAAGACACCTTGTTTAGGGTGTGATTCCTGACAAAACATAGAATTGTCCAATTGTTCCTTGGAAAAATCATGATTTCAAACAGGAAGTATGAAAATTTGCTTCTTCTAGAAAGCCAATTGCTCAGAAGAAGTATTTCTAACTCAAAATAAACAGGATGGTCACATATTCCTACCTTTATCTATATTTCTGTACTATGTTTAATACCTTTTTGGGTTTCTATACATAATTGATACATAATTATTTATCATAATTAGTTATATATATTATATACCTATATCTACATAATTATACATTACTTATTTATATAATATACGTTCTTCACATTGCTCTTAACAGTGTTATATACAAAGAAGCTAAGCTGGGGATAATACACAACTCAATAAAAAAACCCCAAACTAACAAATTAATAAAACCAGCCCTTGCTCTCTGCCCCTTGCCCAAAACAAACAAACACAAAAATCTCAAAAAAAACCAAAAAAAAACCACAAAAAAAACCACAAAAAAACAAAACACAAACACTCTATAAAACCACTCATAAGAAAAAGCCTAACAAAAATAGGAGAGACTTGAAGACAAAATAGTTACAAAACAGTTACAAAACAGTTACAAAATAGTTACTAAAATCTCCTTCATTCAGGTGGTGAAGTACCCATATAGATGAACATCCAAATAATTAATGATGCTGAAGAATGACTTACTATAGAATTTACTGTGCTGTCATATGAGAGTTCATGTGTGGGAGTTAAAAACTGGATGATCCAAATCTGTTTCACATATAGAAAAAATACCCCTCACCAAAACCTCACTGAACAACATATGCTGAACAGCAGACCTACTACAATCATGTGACTTCAAGGTGAGGTTTTCTTATTCTTCTCCATCTAACATTTGAAAAATTATTGCCTAATACAGAATTTCGGGTTTTGTATTGCAAAACAAGTTTGCACACAAATTCAGCCTCATTCATAACCTCTGGACTGATTTAATTTTCAATTTGCTCCTGGCAGCATTCATATGACACTCACTCCTCAAGGCCACAAAATATTATCCATCAGCTTTGCAGGTTAATTGTAAAAATTATAATTCTTTACAAGAGAGCATAAATCTTTAGCATGCCCTTAGAATTGCTGTCTGCCCAGAAAACATTGCCTTGAGAATATCATCCGCATATGTTGCATTACTTCACTCCATAGCAAAGTGGTTTTGAATTATTCCCTTCTGAGTATGAGGTCTGTTTATAGAACCATGGAATTTTCTTATGAAAATAATCTTTTGTTCCAGAATCATGAAATGGTTAAGATTGGAAGGGAGTGCATCACCAGGTCTAACCTCCCTACTTAAGAAGGGTCATTCAAGAGCATATGACACAGGATTGCATCCAGGTAGTTCTTGAATACCTCCAGTGAGGGAGACTCCACAACCTCTCTGAGCAACCTCTTCCAGTGCAAGCAGGAGAGAAGTCCTTCTTCACATTCAGGTGAAAATTACTGTGCATTAGTTTCTGCTCATTGCATCTTATCCTGTTGTTTAGCACTGAGCAGATACTGGCTCCATCCTCTTAACAAACTCCCTTCAGATACTCAGATATATTGATGAGATCCCCTCTCAGTCATCTCTCCTAAAGAATGAACAGGCCCAGTTCCCTCAGCCTTTCCTGTTAAGAAAGATTCTCCAGTCCCTTAATCAACTTCATAGCCCACCACTTCTCTAGTCTTCTCTAACCAGTCGTGCTTGAACAAGCCTGGGCACCTGGGACAGAGATTCCTGAGGGCTGGTCACATCAGGGAAGACCAATGCAAAGAAGCTCAGCAGCTCTGCCTTTTCTGTGTCTTCAGCTACAAGGGCCTCCCTCCATTTAGTAATGGGCCACATGATCCTTTGTTTTCCTTTTGTTATGGATAAGCCTTTGAGTAAGCCTTCCTTGTTGTCCTTTACATCCCTGCACAGATTTTATACCAGATGGGCCTTGGCCTTCATTGTTCCATTTCTACTTACTCTGATCACCTCTCTAGATGCATTCCAATGCATTCCAAGATGCTTCAATCTCCTGTGTATTTCCTGCTTATGCTTAACAGGAATTCTTTATTCATTCACACAGGTCTTTTGACAGCTTTGCCTGATTCCTTTCTCATTGGGATTCATAATTTTTGAGCCTGGAGAATGTAGTCTTTGAATATCAACCAGCTCTCTTAGACCTCTCTTCCCTGCAGGGCCTATTCTCATGGGATTTTTCCAAGAGATCCCTAAAGCGGCTAATGTTAGCTTGCCTGAATATCATGCTTGTAATTTTACTTGCTGCCTTGCTTCCTCTTTATCCAGTACTAAACTTCACAATCACATGATCCCTGCAGCCAAGGCTGCTCCCAAGCTTCACATTTCCCACACGACTTCCCTGTTTGTTGGTATGAGATCAAGCAACATGCCACTCCTTGGGGAATCCTCTAACTACCTGCTTTCCAGGAACGTCCTGGACTGTTTGTGCTTCGCTGTGTTGCTTCTTCAGCATATGTCAAGGCAGTAAAGTGCCTCACAAGAACCAGTGCTCTGACTGTGAGGCTGCTTCAGGCTGTCTGCAGAAGACCTCATCCACTTTTTCCTGATCAGCTGACCTGTAGTAAACACCCACAACAGTGTCACCCTTACAAGTAACCCCGTTTATCCTGACCCATAAGTTCTTGACTTACTCCTCATCTACCCCAAGTCAGAGCTGAATACATTCCAAGTCTTGTCTCACACAGAACAACTCTGACACCATGTCCTTTCCTGGTCTGTCTATCCTAAACAGTTTGTAGCCCTTCATGACAACATTCCAGTCACATGAGCTATCCTACAACATCTCCATCAGCACACTGAGATCAATATTGCAACTGATATTGACCAAGATGAGATCAATTTTGTTGATCATCAATATTATTTTAGGCAATTCTTATGTCATTAACACTTAGGGACATAAGGTTTCCAGCATCAACACGTGGTAAAAAAGATTTCTATTATATAACACTAACTTCTTTTACCAACTTATTTGGATCTTCACTGAGTGACTTGGTTTGGTTAAATAAAATCATAAACAAAAGTGAATTTCTTGCGGGTTCTGTATAAAAGAAACTTTGAACTCAACACCATGCAACCCTCCTGTGTAATGACTATTATTTTTCTGCTTGTAAGACTGCAGTGGAACAGAAGCAATACTGAGGCTGGAGAAATAAAATAAACCACTAAAAGAAATAGTTCAATTACAAAAAACCATCAGTCTCCAGTGCAACTAACTTCACAGAGATTTGTTCTGCATATGACTACCAGAAGTCCTTCTACCATGTGTCATGCTGCACCAGCAATTGCCAGTGTCAAAGAGAATGCAATGACAAGAGCAGAAATGATCAGTGAGGCAACAAGCATATCCCCAAGGCCCTCTGATGGCACCACCTTCTCTTCAAATGTATCAACAAAATGGAATAAAGAACTCAGTCACAAACATCCACAGGAGCCCAATGTCTTTAGCAACATTTAGAATAACAGGTGACTTTTCTGAAATGACCAAGTGTGCTGCAGCTACATCTCCTTCCACAGTGACACCAAATCATTCCACAGTCATCTATACTACCCTTGGGGCTTTAGTGCTCCCAGTGGTAACTCTTCAATCAAACGCACCACGCTGCTCCCCATCAGTGTCATTCTGACATCACCCATGGTGAAGCAGGACAGTCCTACCCCAAGTTTCAAACCCATTCAGCAGACAACAAAGCTAAAGCATTAATTCCAGCAACCCTTCTATTGCACCACCAAAAGATGCCAATGCAGGTAAGGATCTAACTAAAATCCAAGTGGTTTAATAAAATTATAATGCTGAAATAAAACCTTTTGCTAAATTGAACTGGAGGCTTTATGAGACATGTGAACTTACAAGTGAGCTAATACAAACTAAAACTAAAGCTCACCCACACATGTATTTTTCAAATTATTTACTCTTAAATTAATTATTTAACACTTCCCAGATCGGGAGAATCTAGTGACAGGTATTGCCCATTTTCACTAGAATAAACCTTAAAAGCAGATATGTAGAAATTAGACTTAAAATATACAGCACATCAACTTATTAAAGTTCAGAAATTTTTGTAACCAAAGATGACTTCTTATAAACACTTCCAAAGGAATTACTCATTGTGCATTTAATTACCAAATTAAGTATGCATGGGAAAACAATGGAACATAAAACTGTCATTGCACTTTTCTATCCTGCTATTCTGAAACAGGTCTTCAGGAAAAGAAAGTATTAGAAGGCACAGTAATTTTTTGCATTAATTAGCTTTCAAGCTTTTAACACAGGACTGCAAGTACAGTTTGTACTAAGAACTGAAGTACCATCAGACTTTCATGTTTCCCATCATAGTTAACACACAGCTAATAATTACAAGGCACCTAATTTTTACATAACATCAGCTGAGAAGGAAGGAGAGTTAGAGAGCAAGTTCACTTCCAAGAAAAACTGAATATCTTGAAGAAAGGTTTCATGCAACTGGAGGAAAAATCGTGAAGAAATGCATTTATTCTGGTAATTGAACAGATGCATGCTCAATCACCATTACTGAATTTTTAGCTTTACACACACAAAAACTGAAATTCAGAGGCTGCAATTTTAACTGCTGGCTTAAATGCTTACAAATAATTGCATTCAAAGAATGATTACTGTTTATTTAGTCAAATAAAAAATAGTGGCTGATTCATTAATTAAACCTTGTTATTTGATTAAAAACTCATTTAGCTGACTTTTTAGTTTTCCTAAACGCCAGTTATTCCCTGAAACCTCAAAGATGGAGATGTCTGTTTTCATTTACATAGGCAGAACATTTCTGCAGTAAGGCTGGTTTACTCATAGCTTGCAAAGTGTTTCAGATCCTTGCTGAAAAGTCTCACTCAGTGTTTTTATAGATTTATTATTCCCATTCAACTGTTTCATCTTTGTTTCTTTTTCTCCCAGACAAAAACAACAAAGAAGTAGTAACAGCTGGCATTTTTGTAGGAGCCATTTTGAGATGTGTATTAATTGGCCTGGTTGGATATTTTATAGGTGCTACAAAGAGGCCCAAGTCATTTTCCCACAGATGACTCTATGATGACAGAAGGAGTGATCCAGGTAAAGAACAGTACAAGTGTTTTGCATTATAACATTTCTAATTCCTGCACAGGGCTGCTTAAATAATCTTGTCTTACTGAATTATTAGGATATCATTGACTCCAGCCAAATTAGCTTTCAACTGACATTAATTTATTATTTCTAAATTTTAGCTTAACCAATATGCCTCTTAACTCTGTATCTCCTCCTTGCAAGTTATTTTTTTAACCTCTGAAATACCAGGAAATTCATATCTAGTATCACTGAACCTGTTCAAAGGATTGTGGGCAAGTTTAAAACTATAGCTCAAAAGCTCTCCCAAACCTTGATTAACTGAAAAAAAGGTAGACTCTTTAGTCATCCTAAGTCAATTACAAAATTAGGGATGAAGCTACATCTGTTTTTAGAAGTAAAAATATTGTTAAGATGTTTAAAAAGATGACTGCTTTTGTCTTCTCTATGAGTATATAAGAACTTGTATTGAAGTGCAATCACAGTCCAAGCATCTACATCATGTTCCTGGACCTTATTTATAAATGTTTAAACAAATACTGAGAGGCCAAACACACCTTTTTTCTCATAGAAAATAAAATCTAAATAAATTCCAGCAATATGCCCTTTCCAGCTTAAAGGCAAGAGCTGAAAGCTGACATAACTTCAGATTAGGAATCCGCTTTGAAAGTTGACCACCCATGTGGTCACCCAACTGAATGGGTATTGCTAGAAGGACACGAGTTATCTTCAGAAAATCATTAATCAGGGCCCTGATATTTGCTCTCCCATATGTCAGAAAGCAGTTAACTGGACTTACATGTGAGGGGCTGCTGAATTAAACTATGAGGTATCCAGTAGACAGAGATTAAATCTTTCAAGTAATATATAAAAAAATTATGTTATTCCTTCAGTTCTTCACTAAGACAGCTCTCTTGAACCATATAAGAGTCAGAGGTGCCTCACAGAAGATAAGACAGAGGAAGACAATGCAGGGTGCCCATCTGATAGCATTCCAATGGCTGACATAACACCATCCCATCTTTCATTGCAATGCTTGCTTCAGATTATATTCTTGCCTGTTATCTACACTCTTTTCATTTTTTCCAAAACAACTTGGCCATTGTTACCTTACAGCCATTACTGTACAAACAATGTCATGAAAAGGAAAAATCACAAGATACACCAATATACAACAGACAGGGCCCAGTAACAGAGCATAACTTCTTCTACTTTGTAATGAAATTATCAACTTCTGCTTTTCCTGGAAGGATATTACATTTGGTTTTTGGAAATAATATAGAAAAATAGCACCCAGGTAAGATTCTGCTTTGTGTAACTTTGGTCAACAATGTAACAAATAAAAATTTGACTAGGATTACAATGATATTTTAGTATCAATACAAAAGAAATCCTCAACTTCACTACTATGAAGTGAAACTATCCTAATATAATTTCTATCTGATAAACTACTCAGGTCATTGTTTTCCAAAATTTACATTTGGACCTTCTTCAGTGAATATGCCAATATAGATTAGGTTTACGTGGATTATTTAATTTGGATTATCTGAAGTTTGCTGAGGAGAATGGAATTACTGAGTAAAATGAGCTACATCTAACCTTTGACTACATGACAGTGATTTAGTATCACTACCAATGGGAAAAAAGATAACAAGCTTCTATTCCTCTGTCAGACTGATCTGTTGTTTGAATTGCAGGCTAGATCTGCAGAAATTATGTTAAATGTGTCAGTATAGATTAGATAGAAGAAATACTTAACAAGAGAGGAAAGGAATTATCTCTGATACATATATAGGTATCCTAAAAAGCATGGTCCAGTTCTGTCCAGCTAAAGAATAAAATTATGGCAGTATAATGCAAATAACTGCATAACTTATCTGTTTACAGTTACCAAGTTTATCTAAATAGAATGAGAGAATAAGTAAAAGAAACAATTGAAAAGGCATAGAATAAACAAAATAAAGTGCAGAGAACAAACTACCCATGTGGGATACATCCTTGTTATTATGCTCTGCTAAGACGCTTTAATTAGTGTGGAGACCGTGGATCACGCTGATGGAATTATCTCACTGTCTGTGAATGTTACTATGAGATTTTATTAAATATGTGAGTAAATTACATGCACATACACCCCAGAGAGAAACTATGTCAGTCGTACTGAATATGGGCAAAACAGGTATTTATTTAAAATATTAAAGATTTCAGTCCATATATGCAATCTTGCCCTTTTTTTGAGTTCAGTAATAAAAACAGCGTATGTCCCATCAATACCAGAACCTCATTTCTAGCATAGTATCCAGCATATTTGGTAGCAGACTGAAAATATGAGACAGATTCACCTATATTACATGAGAATATCACTCTGATGCTTGAAATATAGAAAAACGAGAAAAATATAATGCTCAGCTTTCACCTTCCCTAGACTATATAATGCCATCTTTCCTGTGGTAAAGCAGTGTCATACAAGCCAATTCCTCCTTACACTTGAATCTTGGCCTCAGATGAAAATGGAAAGAGCTCTCTTGAAGGAGACTTTAGAGATGAAGAGATGCTAAGAAGCTACCTGTGCTGTCTGCACTGGTAACTATATAATTAAATGCATTGTATTTTAGGGATTTTGAAAGTAATAATACTTGGAAGACAGTAATAGCAAGATTAATGGTAAATGAAGAAATATCAATGAGGAAAGTAATCAAACTGTGCTCTTTAGTTATATCATGTTGATTTTTGACAATCCAATCATAATTTTTGCATGTATGGGGATGTGCTTCTGTTGTCCATGCAACTATATGATGTTTTGCGGTTGTTTGTATATTTTTACTTGCTTTTACCATGCCAGCCTCCAAAATTTGTGACATTTGTTCTTACTTCACTTTAAGTAATTAATACTTATTCATACATGTTACATAAATAAAGCTGTTGTGTACTATTTCATTCAAAACTGTGAAACTCTGTCTTGAATGCAGACAGTTCTGTGTATGTGAACTAGTGTCATTTTCTCAGTGTTTACACAGACAAACACGTTCATTGGTAGAATCAATTATCTTTGGTTCTGTTCTTCCTCCCTATTTCCCAGCAGCAAAATCCTATTAGCTGCAGTGAAAGCTAATTCTACTGAGGATTTAATTCTGGGCCCATTAAATCTGTCTTTTATGGCACTATTACACTGACCTCTACAAGAGGCAGGACTGGTTTTGGTAACTCCTGTTCAACAGTGTCCCCTGTGGACATCCCCCTGTGCTTGTCTTTGAGCTGCACAACACTATGTATGCAATGGCAAACACAACGAGAGATTCAGACTAAGAATTTCAATGGAAATACCTTAAATCCAGTAAGTACTTAACCTCAAACCTTTCCTATACTTTCCTGTAATTAGCTCCCATAAAACCATCCTCATTTATTCTGTAAGAATCCTCTACAAGATGTGATTTTGATATTGGCTCAAGATCAGTAACACAACCTACATGTTTTCCTCTAAAAGGACTTTAGCCTAAATAATAAAAAATTCAGGCTTAAAGACATTTAGGGCCCTAAAGAAAATCGTAACATTAGCTGATACATATGTACATTTACATAAAAGGTGTTACCCATTACTAAAACAGAAATCTAGATTAATGAAAATGAAAAAAATTGTTTGTGTGGCAAAACCATAATCCTTTAACTTTTATCAAGAGCTGTAATCTCCTTTGTCAAGTAATCATATAAAAGGGTCAGGTGAACTAAAAATAAAAACAAAAACCAAGTAAAAATACTTACCCCAAATTGCCATGAAAATTGCAAAGAAGACAGTCCCTCCATTATCAAACAAATGTGTAACCTGAATAAAAAATACATCAGGAAAAAATAATACTGCCACCTCATCTTTTGCCCCAGATAATCCCACAATACATAACTGGTGTCAGAAAACAAAAGTTAAGCATTCTCCTAAGTACTCCTACCAGCATGTCTCTTCTACCAAGGTTTGTCAATGTCACACTCTGACTTCCAGTATAATTTGAAATCTGCTGTTCCAGAATATCACTTCATGCATCACTAGTCATTTTGTTTCACATACAATGAGCTGTTTTGTCCATGTCTAGGCAGGTTAAAATTTAATCCAGAATTCCTGTCATATGGTAGGTCAAACTTAATCTTGACCATTTCTATTTTAAGGCTTTTATGGGCTAAAAAACCTCTTCTTTTCTCCCTCAACATACTTACTATCTCTTGATTCTATTTTGTTCTTCTAACTAGGTATTTTGCAATTTCTGGTGTGATTATTTAAGTTTGAAGGATAGCTTCTTGAAGCAAAATATTTAATTGTATAAAGTCTTTGCATTAGTTTGACAGAGCAAAGCAGAAGCAAAAGTGCAAATACAAAGTAAGCAAAGGAAACAGAATAATAAGATAGTTAGAGAGGAAAGTAGGAAAAACCTTACAGAAAGTTTTATTATGGAGTCCTCACAGAGGAATTAATAAGTTGATGAAAATAATAAGAATTTATTAATAAGGAAATGCTCACAGAAAGCAATTTTAGAAAAACCCCAGATCATTTCAGAGCATTCCCCTGTTAGAAAGATTTATTACAAAGGCTGAAAACAACATCTGTAGAGAAACAACATATTTTTCAGGCAACTTGGTTGAAACAAGGGCAGCCATTCATTATACAATCACAATTATCTTGATAGCAATAATACAATAATTACCTTGGCATATATGCAGCTTTCATTGAGTTTTTGTAGTGTGCAATTGCGTTCACACATAGGACACATAATGGTTTCATTTGCCTCGCAGATCTCTTTGCTTTAGTATGAGATAGGAAAGTAAAGGTTATAAAAACACTTCCAGCATTCACAAGATTTTCTGAGGTTATGCCATTTATAGCCTCTGTTTGTCCACAGTGCATGCACCACAAAACTGGGCAAATAAATGAAAAGTGAATATTTGGCTTGGAAAGCCTAATCCCAAATCAGGAACCTGAACACTAGGGGCCATACAGCTAACAGAATATTTCTGGACATCATGTTACACTTCTCACACTAGCAAATTCTCTCCCAAATATCACAAACAGAAAACCAAAAAATTGTCCACTATCCTTCAAATGCACTTACAGACTATTTTCCTAAATTATTATAAGATACCAAATGTTCAGAGAATAGAAAACACCAGTGTATCTACATTGATTTCAATCAAATAGTATCATTTGTATGTAATTTTGCAAAGAAGAGAGACACTATAACAAGAGGCAAAAGTCAGTAGGAGAGGGGGATATTTGCTCCCTTTTGGTGATACCCTTCCTTCTTTTCAATTTCCAGCTTGCCTGTGGCAGCCAGAGATAAACTACAGAGAATCTTCTTTTACACAGTGGGAAGAGACTCATGGCCTTGTGCTGAGGTGGGCCCCAGATAAAAAGAGCCAACTCTTAGCAGACCCTGAGCATAGAGCAGAGGCAGGTACTTGGACAAGTCAAAAACAAGACAAACTAACTCTTAGATGTGACATCATTCTGCATTACACTCAAATTACTGCTGCACAAAACCTATGGCTGGCACAATAAGCAATGTTTGGTTCTACGGCAGTACATACTCCTGTATTTGCTTATTACTTCTCTACTAAAATTCTACTGGGCATCTGGAAAAAAAAAAAGAAAATTAGAGTTTCCTGCCTGCAGCCACTACAAGTGGGCTCATGGCAAATTCCTGCGCCTGAGAAAAGTATCCTTCTGCAAAACTGATTCGATAATTTGTTTGTACTCACAAGAGAGATAAAAAAATAAGGGTTTTTGATGGAATTTATCATACTTAAATCAACACTTCCTAACAGCTGTGGATTCCTCATAACAGGTGTAATAAACCTGTTCCACATGAAACAGTGTTCAGTAGATAATACTGAATCTCAGGCAACACGCCAGTTCTGACATTGCCATAATGCCCTAACATTGTGTTTCAGTTTCTAATTTCCACTGGGTTTCCTGTGTTTAGATTTTTTTAAAGTCACATACCCAATTCTGTTTCTTCCAAATCGCCACTGATCACTGCATTTGTGTATGGTGGTAGCTATAGTGCTCAGAATCAAATGACAGATTTTAAAACTCTCACAGATGCTTATCTAGAATTTTCTTTAAAAGAATGCAGAAACACCAGATAGATAATCTCTCAATCCCAGAGTACAGCAAGAATAAGAACACGTGTGCAGTCCATCTACCTGTTTATGGGTGACTCCTGTCTGCTCTAGGAACAAAGTTTCTGTCTAATCCTTACTAACACCATCTAGGACTAGTAAAAAAATATGGCAAGGAGTAGTATCGGTTATCAGTGGCCTTTAGAATTGCCTAAGTACACCTAAGTAAGGTGATACAGAAAACATCTACATATGTTTTATCAGGCCAGGCATAATTAGCTTGAGTTTCACATTTCACAGCTGTTCTTACATGGCTGTAGCAATGCACTGGACAGCACTGTGTCACAACCGACCAGAGGGATTGCACAGATTCCGATTCCCACAGCTAAAGGCAGGTAGCACCTTCTTCACAGAATTAACACATCCAGATTACAGATGTGGGGCTGCCACATAGCCCATGGTTAGGACTTCTGCAATAACCCGTTCTCTGGCAGTATTTTGAAATGAACACTGGCTAATGATAGCTATAATAAATATAGGAATATTCACCTTCCGTTTTAGGCATATAGGGCTAACTTTCAGTCTCGTTTCTGACATAAAGGCCAGAAGCCTCGGGCATGCTGGAACTGTGTAGCTCAGCACAACACTGAGGTGCCTCAGGATGAGACCCAATACAACCAGCCCCACAGGGACAAACTCCAATGTGCTTTGTCTGTGCTGCAGCTACTAAGCAGCAGACAAGGGAAAAAAAACTGAGGACAGAAACCCTCAAAAGCTAACCTACCTCTGTGCTCATTTACAAGACCCTGCAACCTTCAGCAAGGAAGAAAACTGCATTTTTCTGTTAAAAAGGAATCATACCTGCAAATCTTCCTGCAAGAAGCACATGACACACAGGAGGTGATTGTCCTGTCCTATTCTGTGCTGGTGCAGCCTGACCTCGAATATGGTGTGCAGTTTTGGGAGCCACAATATAAGAAAGATATAAAGCTCTTAGAGAGTCTCCAAAAGAGGGCCACAAAGATGGTGAACGGCCTAGAGGGGAAGCCATATGAGGAGCAGCTGAAATCACTTGGCTTGTTCGGCCTGGCAAACAGGAAACTGAGGGGGGAATCTCACAGCAATACAACAGCTTCCTCTCCTTTTCTGGTGACCAGTGACATGACCAGAGGGAACACATGAAGCTGTGTCAGAGGAGGTTTCGGTTTTTCAATCACAGGGCAGCTGGGAACTGGATCAGATTCCCCAGGAAAGTGGTCACAGTACCAAGATTGACAAGAGTTCACAAATAATTTGGACAATGATCTCAGGCACATGGTGGGATTCTTGGGGCTGTCCTGTGTGGGCTCAGGAGTTGAACTTCAATGATCCTTGTGAATCCCTTCAAACCCAGGATATTCTATGATATAAAAGCACATAATAGCTTTACCATTTGAAATAATGAAATTATTAGAAATGTTGTTCTTTCTCTCAGGGAGTTGCCAATGACACACTTCTCTTCCACAAGGAAGAAATACTAAGCTATATCTTGATAATAGTAGATTATGGCCCCTTGTTCCCCCTTTGCTGGAACTGTGCCATTGTACATGTGACAAATACAAGATTGACAGTTCAACAGTTGTGGCCCCTGTGCTCTAAGAACAGTCTGATCCCCAAATTCAGATCCACTGCATTTTGAAATACATTAATGATGAAAAACAATCCTAATACAGTATCTTAAAGATAGCATCATTTCCTGGCTGTTAAGTTTATTGCATTTAACTGTATTTAATGTGGTTTGAATTCTTAGAGTTTCTCAGGAGTTTTCTGTACTAATCAAGCTTAAAAGTATTCATTAACAGCACTGTAGAATATAACTCACTGTGAAATAAAAGTTAAAGAAAACTCCTTAGATAAAACTTGAATATAGTCTTGCTGAAAGCCAGAGAAACAACATTTTCTATAAAATCTGACTCCAAGTGTACATACAGCCTAAGCACCCAAACTGCTTGGAGCAACAGCTGCAATTGTAAGACCAGATACTGATACTGTCTGATAACAGCTAACAGAATACTTTGCAGTACAGTGGATCCGCAGAGAGTTCCCAGCAGTACCGTCAGCACTTGAGCATGCTCATCACATCTAAATTGACATAAACCCTGCTCAGAGCAAAATCACAAAAGTGGGAAACTTGAAAACTTGGTTGCAATATCCCTGAAGCTGAGTCTCCTGGCTGCAAGTTACATTGGCACAGATAAGAATTTTGTTAGAGTCCAAGTTTGCCACTATTAATGAAGAAGGAAAAAAAGTCATAGGCAGAAGCTGAAGTTTAGTAACTTTACTACACTCTGGAAGTTACAGCAAGATGAAGGTAATGAGGGAATATGGCTGTTTTTTCACCCATTAGCCTTAATTAGATCAGCCACTACTGCAGTATCTGCAATAGTGAAGACATGAGCACTGGTCCTTACAGACGGGTCTGTTTCTTCTTAGTGGGAATCACTGCAATGGAGTGATAAGAATGGCCACTGCCAGCAGCACACATCTGGTTTGATGCAAAACAAATGCACAAAGTGCAAATACTTGACTCAAAGACCCAATATTCTATTTTGGTAATTCTTACATTATTACCATACCTCCAAAACATTTAAAAGTACAGCAATCTAAGTTGTGCCAGACTGTTCTTAACTAACAATAGGGTATTACATATTATTAAATAGAATTTTACCTTACTTGGCTGGAATCCATTGTAAATAATCCATAGAGGAAAACAAAGAGCCCAACCAGAGCAGCAGGAATAAGCATTCCAGTATACCATCCCAGCCAGGCAAAATACAGTCCAATTTTTTCACCAAAGTATCGCCTACATGAAAAGGAAACACATATATTGCTTAAAACTAAATTTTATGGTGACCTCTATCTCTCTTTACTGCCACAGTAGTAGAATAATTCTAACAAGGAACTATCACTACAAGTTTATGGCAAAATTGTCAATTTACCAAACAGGTTTTTTTTCAGGCTAACATAGTATTTTAGTGACGCTAATTGCAGATTTATGAGAACATGGATATAATTGTAGTGCCTCTGTACTTTTCATTTCTCTGCAATGATTATGCATATGGACTGGTAGCAACCTTATTAAATATAGGATAGATAGATGATAGATAGATAGATAGATGATAGATAGATAGATAGACAGATAGATAGACAGACAGACAGATAGATGGATGTACACAGACACAAAAAAATCTGGAAAGGGATAACGTAAGTTAATATGACCTAAGTATTCAATTTAAAAACCATTTATGATAATCATACATAGATAATATGCCATATTTCCAACTAATATTAGTGAAAACAATGCTCTGAATCCACAAGCTGAAGACTGAACTTTAATTCTTCAAAACTTGGGTATCAATTGCTAGAACAGATGAAATAGCAGTGATCGGAAAGTCAATCAAGGACGATACAGCATAAAATTGTCCCATGGCACACATACAATGCACCAATAATCGGTTATGATTCAGATCAGTAATAAAAACTTGCAGCAAGAGAATGAATTACTGGTATTCAGTGTCAGAGGAGGAAATTGTGAAACCCAAACATCACCATTATTTAACTTAAATGATATGTATTTCTCTATTTTACATTCGGTAACCTATGACACTATGTCTAAGACATATAAATAAGAGTTATTTAAACCCACATGGAAAGGTTAAAATCAGGTTATATTTTAAGTCCTCTGCATCTGCTAACTCTGACTGTCCATGTGGATAAGAGTCTGCTTCCAAAGATGCCCTCCACAAGGGACAAGTGTCTCTGATCAGCAGGCCACATTATGGGTTTGTATTTTAAGTTTCACATTGAAAATTCCTGAGCAGTTGGAACTACATGTTCTTCAAGCAGACTCATTTGAAATTAACCTACAAAAGACCACCCAAAATAAGCAACTTGGAGAACTCCAGCCTTATCCAATAATAGGGAATATCTAAATGCTATAAGGAAAGCATGAGGAATTTATGAATACAGTTAGCACACTGTTGCCAGTCTTTTTGTACCAGAGGAAATCTTCAAAGTACTAATACCTGATTAAATCAAGAGGCTGGTATTTATACCACATTCCCCATCGAGCCCAGCGCTCATACAAGAGATGTCTGTGATTCTGTGCTCCATGTGTTTTGATGGGATGCCTGCTTTTGTGGCTTCCCTGAGAAAAAACACAAAGAAATGTAAGTACATTACCAGGCACTATGGAAAATGAAGACTTTTTTACATATTTTTGATTATAATTTTAATAGAAATGTTCTTTATATTTAATAAATAGGTCTCTTATTCTGGGCACATCTGGAACATGTCATCAGGAGCTAACGTAAGCCTGACATAAGAGGCAGGGTTACATAAACTTCTGAAATGGCCAGTTTCTCTAATAATTAATGACTGAAACATTAATACAAGACTTTAAATAAGTAGTCAGCTCTGTTTTTATTTCACTAATAGATGACTACTTGTATGCTTTTGCCTATTTAAATTCTTCAAGACATGCTTGTGGTATATTTTTATTTCTTCTATAAAATTTTAAAAATTTCTAGTATGTCAGCTATCTTCTCCTAGACATTTTCTAACACTTTCTTTCACTATTGTTGAACATGTAGAAAAATATATTCTTTCTGTGGTACATACTTTCTAAGATGAAGGAAACAGAAATGGCATTATTCTGAAGCTACATAGGACTCTGGAGGCATTAAAAGCAAAACAGAATCAGTCCGATCCAAAAGGAATCCTTTGAGGCCAAGTCTGACATTTACAGACCACCTAAGAGACTAAAATAATAGCCTCATGCTTGGCAGTCAAAAGGTATCACACACATTTGCTAGAATAATCTTGAGCAGAATTTCTTGCATTTGTAATTTTGCTCCAGTTCTGAAATGGGATATATCCTTTAGTTGTACTTTTCCCCAAAAAAACTTCCATCACTCAAGTATGGTAAAGAAAATATTTCATCAATTGACAGCAAGTGAGCCGAGTAATTTCTTGTGAAGAGAGAAGAGCTCTCTAGCACCTACCTCAGTTAGTGATCAGACAGATTTCTTGACCCTGGCAGATGCAGGTAACTAAGCCATTTAGATTTTTATCGGGCATTTGAAATCTTGAGCACTCCTCACAGTTCAAAGAACACCATCAGTTTGTTGCAATCTGCTGATTCTCTGACTTAAGAATGAGTTAAAACCAAAGCTAAATATTGCAAAAAGTCCAAGTTTACTCCTTTCTCCTGACAGTCAGCAAAGCAGCAAACCAAAGATGTCAGCATTGAGTGTGACCTTTGCTGCATCTAAGAACACGTAGGAAGAGAACATCAACTTATTCTCACAGCAGGCTGTAAAAAATGATTGCAAAGCATTACCTAGTATTACATGTTTTAATTTTTTTCCCAATTCTTTCTGCACTGTTATCCAAAAAAGAGTTCAAGTCTCAGCATTACCACTGGGATTGAATTTTCACTCTTATTTGTCCATGTGGGGAAAAAAAAAAATTCTACCACTAGTCCTTAGCATCAGTCAAGGAGCAATTAAAGTAAGAGTAGCTTAAAATTATGATTTCACTGATTTTAACTGAGATGCAGAAACAGTAGCTTATGCCATAACAAAGCAACATATAAAATGGATATGACAGCATGGCTTTGATGCCAGAGAAAGCTTCACAAGCTTCTGTGGTAGTACAGCCAGCTTTTCCCTGAAGTCAATAATGCACAGCTGAAGTATTAACAATGATGTTACATTATTTATCTAAAATACGCCTTCTCTGCATTCCTAGTAATTAATTATTAAAACTAAAGTACTTAATAATTTAAAAATTACTCTCAGCCATTTGTAAAGCCTCTGAAATACAAAACCAAGTCACAATATTCAGCTGAAACACAGTGTCATGGTTTGACATGGAAAAAGAGTTCAGAGCTGCAATTACCATGTTCCTGAGAGCATTTCAAAGACTGAAGATGTGTGGCTTGCTTCTTCTTTTCAACAGTAGAATATTTTCTGAAAACCCTCTTAAGTCAAACACAGGCTTTTAGTTCATTTTTTGGGTTTACAGTCTTTAGTAGACTTTTAAACTACTGGGAAAAGTATTGTCAAGTAGAAATTATCCAGAACTATTCTGAAAATACTAAACAGGACATAGTTAAGCAGTCTCACCAACTGTGATCAAGTGGCCAAGCTATTAGAAAAACAAATGCTTTTGTAAATGACAAGCAAAAATAATTTAATACAACTAACTGGAACAATTTGGAATAACTGATACTCTCCTTAAGAGTGCAACAGGCAATGTCCAGTTCATAAAAATCAGAAAATAATTATAATATCCTAGTCCAACCAGAGAACATTCCAGGATGTTATTATAATATCCAAATACAGAAAATTTTAAAAGCCAATATTAAATAAATAAAAGAAGCATCAACAAATTACAATATGAAATTAAAAGTTTGCAAGACAGAATTAAGCTAAGATCCCAAACCACTAAGAGAAGATTTAATCCAAATATGAAACTAAAAATCAAATTAACCAGGTTACCTCATGTGGTGGAAATGCTGCTTCATATGTTCCATTATTTAGTAACCTATTAATACCTAAAAAAACCCAAAAAATCATTAGGTCTGATATAAATTTTTCATATACATTTTTCAAGTCACGTGAATTTTCAAGTTATAGTTGGAGAATGGAACTTAGTGTTAAATGATAAGAATGCTGCTAAAGATGACAATCAATAACCCCACCAACTACTCTAGCAGGTACTGCTGATTCTTTAAGATTTTTGGCTCTGTCAAACTAGAGAGCAACTTGCCAAGCCAACAAAGCCCAAAAACTTTCTCTCAGGATTGAGTGCTTGCACCAGATTGATTCTGAGAAAATAGTTACATTCACACTGTATTCCTCAGAGCATATAATTCAGATTTTATGGGTGTCATCTGAGTGGTATGGATGGACAATCCCTGAGGCAGTGAAACACCTGCAGGGTTAAAAGCTATTAGGTAGCGATTTAATACCAGCTAAAACCTGGTATTTTTAAATATAAGCCAACTGACAATTTCCTATCAAGAGCAGTGCTCAGTGCCAGACTGCCTACTGTATTTTGGATCAGTTCCTAGATTTTTCCTAAAACCAGATTATAAAAATTGCACAAATAAACAACCATTGATAGGTACAACAAAAATATTCAATAGCCTTTAAGAGCAAATCTGTAGCCAAAGGTTTCTTCAAGAAACAGGTAGGTATGGTAGAATACAGATTTGTCTCTTCAAATATTCATATTATACTAAACTAATCTTATAATGGAATTTGCCATCAACAGCTGCGAAGGTGTTGGATATGAACACTTAATTCTTCCTGGTTTTCTTACTACTGCTTTTGTTCAGAAATTCAAGCAACGATTTTCTGTAACTGGAATCATCCAAGCCTCTGCATATTTAATCTTTAATTTAACTCCCACAGAAAAACCAGAAAATCATGCACACATCCCCTGGTCATTGAAAATGAAAATGGGTAGTTAAGACTTTCTAAAAACTAACATTGTGTTATGAGTGTTGATATAAACTGAATTTAGTCCTAGATCAACACAGACACCTCAAATAAATTAAGTGTAGCACACATTGATTCTACTGTTCTGAAAGTGATGGACAGAAGCTGAAATACTAGGATCAGTCCTTGAAAACACTGTCAGCTTTCTGAGGTATATGTAACCCTTACTGTAGCTCTCAATAATTTAAAGTTATGATAATCTCTCCATTTTATTTTAATGAATGAGTAATTAAGTGAAAAATATTGCAAATTTTCATGGAGACATTTAGGTAGAAAATGATGGGACATTGTTTCAACTCTGTTACTGAGTCAATGAAAACCTTTCAAGAACAGCAAAAAACTGAGTTCATTCAAATTATATTTTTTCCTGGCAATTGAAGATAAAAATTTTATAGCTTTGGGTTAGGTAAAAAATACAGCATTCTCACCCATTTTGGATTTTCCATCTTCATACTTAGTTCTCTGTAGCATATGATGCACAATTCTACTTCTTGTGGAATTGCTGAAGAAGCTTTCTTTGTTGTTTATTGTAAAGCTATTAAAAGAATTAATATCTTAATATTCAAAACAAAAAATGTTGAAACATAGCTGTCCAAGTGTTTTCTTTTTACAACGATTTATTGGGTGTTTACATTCCTTAGACATAAGGTTATACACCATTACAGCAGGTCCAAAAAAGTTATCCTTATCACATATTAAACCAAAAATATCCTACTACCTAGTTAATTTCTGTTCTGGATATAATTAATTCAATAAAGACCTTCAGTAACAGTGGTGGCCTTAAATTTAAACTACTTATGAGTTGACAGTTGTTGTGCAGTGGAACCACCAAAATTACTATTAAAAAATATATATCCATACACTGGAGACTTGGGAAGCAGCTCCACAACCATTTCCCTTAGAGGATCCCAGGATGGAGCTAAGTAAAGCAACCGTGGCCAGATGGCTCCATTCTGGACATGAGAAATCTGATATGCAGGAGCTTCTTCCTGCTCATCTGTGCCAAAAGTGATGCTACTACAATTAATTACATCAGCTGAGCTGATTGAGAAAAAAACACCAAAACCAGGGGATTGATCCAGTGCAGTATGATAAGTTACTGGGGGAAAAAAAAAAATTGAGACACTAATGCCATTACTCTGTTTTTCTGGGGTAAAGTCAGTTCACTACCATTTAGGTTCTTTACTGACTGGAAAAAATCCTGCTTATCCTAATTCATATTTCTAAATTAACTTTTCGCTCCTAAAACAGTTATCACAAAATAACTTTAAAAGTAAGAAACAGAATTTTTAAACATAACTTTATAGGTACTGAAAAAAATGTATGTCACATTTTAAATATAGCATCGTCAACATGCTGATATGAACACATATAGTTTTGTTGTATATATATATATTTGTATTTTCAGAGGCAATAGATCTTTTTAAATGCAAATCTGGTAAGAGAGAAAAAAAAATCATCACTGGTCTTAGCTTGCTTCTGGTGTTCCAAATTTCAACATGTTTTGCCTACTTAAAGTAAGTAATAAGTGCAGAAAATTTTTAGAAGTATTTGCATTTTTTAATGTAAGGGAACAAAAAACTTCTAAACTAAAATGGCAACAGTCATCTTTCCGTCAAATTTCAGATTGTTACTGAGTGACCATCAAATAGCAAGTAAGAAAGAGCAGATTTTCACTTTAAGAGAATAAAATCAAATCTGATAATTGGTATTGCCAGGGACCATCTGTTAGCAGCTACCTCTCTGGCCATTGCTTAGAAGTGAGAAACAGAAAACCCTTGTGGTCTGTGGCACTGCCTTTCCACCACAGCACTCACTGGTGGATGCGAGCACGGCTGAAGGGGGCTGTGTAGCAATCTGTTTCCTCCAGATCAGGCAGGGCCTCCTTATCCAGCTTCATGGGATTTCTTGGCAACCAGCTTTTCAGCTCCCTAATATTCCTCTGCAAACTGAGACAAGAAGTCAGATTTACACGCTCTCAATTCCTTATCATTTCTATCACCAGCACTGCATATTTATTGACTTCATACTAGAAATTAAATTAAATGAAAGTAGGAACCTATCCACATTAAGTAAATAAAAGAAAATAAGGAGTCAAAAAGCAAAATGAACAATAATTATTTGCAATCCATCTTGAACACTTCACTTAAGTAAAACTCATCCTAAAATTAATGGGATTATGGCTCAAAATGGGACTGCGGCATTGAGTCTGGAGAAATTAATTTCCCAAGGTAGTTCATCTGGCAGAACTGTAGATGCTTATGTTTTAGCCAAGAATATATCTAGCTGCACTGAATAATGCAGGTGAAACTCCCCCCTGCTCTCTTGCCTGGCAATGTGGACACTAAAATTCATAAAATTTTTAAGTATATTTGAGAGTATTAAGGATCAGATCATAGTTTTCTGATTGCAAAAAAGTTTTCCCCTGCAAAATTTTCTTAAAAATCCAAGAGCTGATATTGCCTTATGAAACAGTATACCTAAACATCAAATAAAATAAAGGATATGTTACACCAAAATGGTTATGCAGTATTTAGGCAAAAAAAACTCCCTAGATATTGTTTCCTCCAGATTCTTAAAAATAGATACCACAAAACACAAACAAAACATCAAAGATACATCTTCAATTAAATTCTATACTGGCAACATAAACGTTTTTTTTCTCTACTGGCACCTTGCCTAAATGATGTCTCAGGAACATCATGCATACGCAGGTAAATCTAGTCAAGTGCAGTTAATTTTCAAGCAAATGCTCACTTCAGCTTTGCCCTCCTTGCTCACCTATACCTTTTCATATTCAATTTCAATGCAAAATGGTTGTTTAAGGAGTAGATCTCAAATTAAATGTGCTATATCATGACAAAATAAGCACATCAGAGATTTTCAGAAAAAGTCTAAATTTGAGAAGAACATCGCCTATATAGTATTTTTTTCCAGTGGAATTTGGATTCTACTCAATGAATGTGTATCCATGATATACAGAGCATATATACTTTACATCCACAAGAAGTGTAAAGCTAAGCAACAAATCCTTTTCTCTGAGGTGAATACTTCATTGCCTGTGCTAAGCAGAAGCACAGCTACACATTTCATAATGTCCATAATAAAAATGTTATATTTCATAGCATTAAGAGTGTTTCATAATATGAATTAACATAGTCCCATGCAATAAAGTGATCCTTATGAAAATGTACTTATTCTCAACATCAGCAAAAATATTTCACACAGTATCAGAGAGAAATTTCAGCCAAATGTGGGAGAAGGATTTTACAGTTACATTTAAAGTTCTCAAAATTTTCTTCTTGGTATAGATTGCAAGATATTGGTGCACATTCTGTTGTAATTGATAGTGCACTTGAGGGACACCACCTGTGTTCAACACCAACACCACTTTGGCTTACAGTGGTAAGCCAAAGAACATAACCTGTTCATTAAATTGAAACACAGGATACAATTCACAGGCACATGTATTCTTTAAGTGTCTCCTTAGCAATACCTTAGTGAGTTCTAGTGGAAGCTCTCTTAGTACAGTTTATGTAAGTGAAGTTTCCCCTTTACTCTCTTTTAACCATTTTTTCTGTTGCATACTTGCTCACTTTTTAGTCAAAATCCAGAATTCTTTTTTAATGAGGAAGATATGCAGATGCATTGGGAAGAAGAGAAAAACAATGCATCGAATTTCAGATTTTTTATTATGAAAGTACTTTAAAATTGGTTATGAGAAAAGTCTTGATCATATCTCCCATACAAAAATCTTTAAAAATGTAGATGAATATTATGTTAAAGAAGACAGCTCTTGTTTGAAATTCATGGCTTCTTCTTTTAACATGAAAAGCAGGATTGGAATAAATTAATGCTTGTGTCCCCATTACATTTGCAGTTTCTCTTCTGTGACAAAATGTAGTGCCTTTAGCACTAGATAGCATAGAATATTGCAACTGAGAAATGTATAAAAATTATCCAAGAGAAAAATTTTTCTTACGTTTTTTTACTGTTGAAGAAACTGAATTTTCATGGAGCTTGCCTTTAAATACAAATTTTTGCCTAAATCATAGGACTAAGTATTAGCATTTTTACTCAGAGTGGCTTTCTAGGTTAAAAGCAGCAGTTTAAACAAATTCCTGACTTAATCTGTTCAATGTAGCCTATTTAGTGACAGTAAAAGCAGACAGAGCTGGTCTGGGGAAGTCACTAGTTCAGGCAATGAGATAAAAAATGTCCCAGTGGAATGGTACTGCAAAGTTATGGGATGCTGCTTCAAGTAAGCTTTTATTGAAACCACTCCAGCTGGTGCTACTGGAACACTTGGACCAAGGGATAGCACTCTGAAATGCTTGTGCATTGCATTCTTAGCTATACAATTTAATATTTTATGAAGATACTTTTAATTTCAGCTTTACTTGACTCCCATTCTCAGTTGTACCATACTGATTTATTTGGCTGGTTAATCTTTTTTTGCTGAACAAGTTCATCCAGAAATCCTTGCAGATTATGTTTACTCAACAGACTGCATTGTAAAGGAACACAGTATATAGATGATCTTAGCATTATCTACCTAACTCATGGAATGAGATACCAGAATTAAGCAGCTCCACCAGTTATATTAGGTAGCTTTGACAGCAATCATCACCCAGCAGTTTGCTTGGTGTTTGTGTCTCCCAAGACTGGCCAGAAGTGTCAGCTATAGGCCACCAAGTTACTTGGGCATGATGTGTTTCCATGTACTGTAACAGGAAACATGTTAGGGTTGACAGATTCAGCTTATAGACACAATCATCACTAAAAAAAGAAGAAAATTATCATACCTTTGTTTAATGGAATGATATCAACAATTTCACTTCAGTGTGCAGACTGAAGTCCCAAAGATTTTAAAAGTCCTTTTGCAAAGCAAACTTACTGCGGGTCAGGTGCTAAATAAAGTTATTCTTGCTTCTCTATCTTTAGAAGTATTAAGTGATTTTAACATTTCAGTGAGCAGGGTGAAGCTGCATTCTAAGATAACTATATTTTAATTTTCTTTTCCTTGATGCCATCCTTTACCAGCATGAAATCAGCAGGTCCAAATGTAGCAATTACAAGACAGTTTTACTAGGTTATTCAATCTTCAATCAGAGAGTTCAGATGTTTTTTGATACCTACCCTACTTACATGCATATTTCTTTCCTTTGAGAAGAGGAAGGCTTTCTAAATATTGGTCATAATGAGTATTATAGATTTATTTCTATAGAGTGATTCTATGGAAAGAAATCAAGCTTCATAGAATTAAATACAGTGTTAAGGGCTTTTTAAAGGTGTATAAATAAATAGACACCACACAGATACCACATAAAAGAAACTAAGTATTACATTTTTTTTGTACTTTCATTAATGCACCTAATAATCTTTTTCAGACCTTTTAAAGAACATTTACAGATACATATATATCCATCATATAACCATGTCAATAAAGTTAGAGAAATGTACATGTCACACCAGGTCTAATATACTAGTGTTACTTTGTATTCTTAAATCATAGAAACTTTATAACCTTAATATTTTGATATACAAGAATTTTAATATAGTTCTTCACTGTAGCTCATATAAACTCAACTTAGAAATTTTAACAAGAGATTAAATAAATTACAGAGAAGCAGTTTGAAAAGTTGTAAGAAGGATGCAAGGTAATAATGACAGTTGTAGGACTTAAACTATGCATGTGATTTGTATGTCAGCAATTTTAAAGTTAGCTTTGAATTTTAAATATAGCTTCTCTATTTCTTTTGTTCTTTTATGCACTGAATTATAAAAAGTGCCAGAAAATATATGCATAAAAATATTCATACTCAATTTTTCACGAAGTATATCACAGGTAAAAGCATTTATCTCAAATACAAAATCAACCTGGCATGGAAATTACTTATTACTTGATTCACAGGTACTGTGCAACTTAAGTTGCATCTTTCAGACATCTGTCCTTCTAAATAAGGAAAACAAAATTTATGTAACATCCAGGACCCACCAGATGGATTATAGTTGAAATGAGACAATTTCGAAGTACAGCTTGTTGATTCTGCCTTTTATTGCAAGCACATTACTTAGACTTTTCATAATGTATGCTAAAATGGAGCAAGCATGTGAACTGGGAAGAGGACAAAACACAGTTGTAAATCTATGTTATAAATTGGTTTATTTCAACATATTATATCAGCTTATATGTTTAAATTTTTCTCACTTCAACATTCTGTTGTCATTAGCTGATCATCCTGGAAACTGTTATCGTGAGAGTCTCCAAATTGTTCAGAGAAATGAGAGCTCTTTACCCTCTTAAGTAACAATAGGAGAACCTAAATCAAAAGGGATCTCATCTCAAGATCCATCTCAAGAAAACCTGTGACAGGGAACTCTTTCAGGAGATTTCCCTCATGTGGAATATTTTCATGTATCTTTTCTGCTAGGGATTAGGATTTACAAGACCTAATTATGTCTGACTAAAGTGATGGAGTGTAAATACAGCTCCCCATCACTTTAGTCAGACATAATTACAGTGTCCCCCCATTCTCACTCCCTAGCACTCCCAGGCTCCTTTCCCCTGACCCTATGGCCTCTTGTACCCTTCTTCTGGCTGACAAAAACACTAACAGCAGCAGCAGCTAGCTACAAGTGAGATTTGCAAGTTATTCTCTCAGCCAGCAAACAAAAATTCAAAGCAGCCTTCAGCATGTGGCATTAATTTGTTCCTGATCACAAGAACACGCAGGAGTATGTTAGCATATCTAAGGAAGTAGCTGACTGCCAGAATCTGAGATACACACCCAAAAGTATCCTTCATGCTAGAGAAGTATGCCTTGTTGTCAGCAGATATAAGGGCAGAGATAGATCCGGTATTAAATCCTTCCTGCGAAGATAAGGTCTATTTTTTGTTTGTTTCCCTGGTATAAACATTTTTACATTTCTAAAATGAGAACTGGCAAAGCTTTAAAGTACTGCAACCTTGTTGCAGATGAATATTTTAGCACTTTGAGCTGACATATTTTGAGTTTTCACGAAAATAATCTAATTTTCCAAGTTTCCTGGATAAATTTACAACTGAGAATGGGTTTTCTTTAGCAGGGTGACTATCTGACAAAATTAGAAGCTACACATCACCCACCAACCTGCCCATGGTTTTGCTCCTCCAGTCAGTGTAATAACATTTTTTCCTGAAAGAACAGAAAAATCAGCTGAGATTAATCAAGGAGACAGTTGAAAAAGACATATATGTTACAAAAGAATGCTAGACATCTTAAAACATGCATTTTTATAGACAAAAACATGAAGAAAACACTTAAAAAAGGCAACTGAAATAGAATAGGCCTTCCAATAACATAGTTTCACATTTTTCAAGTTTGTTCTAAAAGTACATTTTAGATTTGTAGCTACTGACAATAATGATTACTGATCAATAAGTCACTTCACAGTTCTTTTTTCTTCACCCTTCACCAGTTATAGACACTTAGAGAAACAAAACCAGAAATTCCCAGTAAAGTCTTCTGAGTTATTTTGAAACCAAACGGAGATGTATTTGCTTCATGGTTATATTAATCCACATCTAGTTTCAGGCTTTCAGGCTTTTTTCCTGGCTTCCTCCTATAATTTCACATGACATTTCAACCACACAAAAACTTTGATATTGCAGATTCCTCAGGAGTTAGTAAGATCTGCAACTGCACACCTGGGCAGTATTTGAGATTTATTAAAGTACATTACACTTACACTGAAGATCCACTGAAATTAATACATTAAAAAGACTCCTTGCCTGGAGAATACATGGCTACTGGAAAATTTTGTATCTACCAATCTGCAGACTGTTGGCAGCCTGACACTTGGTATTGCTAGGCAGGATTGTAAATGAAGCAATGAAGGGTTATTAAAGGGTGTTCAGACATTTTTTTAACAAAACCCTTATTTAATTCCCTTTAGTTACCCTTAGCTGTTTTGCACAGATATGAGTTCAGCTGTAACTGATACAAATAACTTATTAACTACAAACAATAATAATCATGTGTTGCGAGATACTTGTAAACAAAATTAAAGATTTGTCTCAGTTCTAGAAACATATAGTAGTTGTATTTCTACTGACAGACCATATACTTAACAAAAATGCCCTTAAAAGTTTAAAAATTATAATTCAGTCACGACCTAGCTTTGATGCTTACTCAAATACTGTTTGAAACCACATACATATGCTTCCAAATAAAGTAATATTGCAAAGTCAGCCATATATATAAGACAATAATGATGACTACACACTGTCTATTGAAATTTTAGAAAAAATTAATTCTGCAATTGAAATACTGAGATTCCATCTATATTACATATATGAGACATATTATATATCTGCCAACACATTTTGGTATAATTCCATGCTAAAACAGTTCTGGGGTTTTGGGTGAATCTCAAAAGTGTTTCTACTTTTCAGAAACAGAGAGAAGTAAACTGTGTGATAATAATTCTGGTGATTTTGTTTAGATTCCTGGACTGAGCGAAACAAAACTAAAAAGTTTTAACTTAATTCTTTATGTGTTATTCATATGTGATATTGACATATGGTATATTTTAGTGACCATAACTTAAAGTCAAAATTTTGCAAGGCTGTGCAAGAGCAAACAGGTATACTGCATTAAAATATTGCAGTAAAGGTTATCGGTCATCTTTAACCTTGCACAAGAACCAGTCAGAAACCACTGATGAAACAGATAAAGTTTACGAGAAATAATTTACTTTTTAGAATTACAGAACATCTCAAGTAAGAAGGGATGTACAAAGATCATCAAGTCCAACTCTCTTCCTCTTAGGCCTATTTAAATCTACCTAAGGATGACCTAAAACTTTTTGGGAGGAAGATACTCTAGTTCACTGAGTAATCACTAATTGTGGAAGAGTTGTAACATCTGAGGTTCCTTTGTCCATTGAATAGTTACCTCAGGAAAACAATATACACAATCCAGGTAGGAAACGTTTTGTTCAAAAAAGCAAGTTCAACACTTCAAACACAGGTGCTCTTAACAGAATATGTAATTAACCTATAAAACGTGTGATCACAGGATGTTGTTAAAGGAGTGCAGATTTATATTTTGGCATATTCATGGCATCCATGAAAAAGCCATCCAGGCAAATATGAACAAAGATGAAGACTTGAACTCTGTCTCGGCAAGTTTCTAAAGCACGTCCTTCTATAAATAGAGAAGGTATCATAAAAAACTGCTCATCTCCTGTAGAGGACACTTTAGAAAGGCTGCTGGCAATGCAGGGCAGACCACCCTTCAATTCTGCGATATCGAGCTTGTGGTTGTACCAGAATTGTATTGTCTTCTGTTTTAAAAGGTACAGAAATTCAAGACATATACTGAAATAGTCACACAAGTTCTAGACTGCAATTTAAATTCCTATTAAAGTCATCTTAAGGATAACAGAAATGTTGACCAATTTACTGTTTCTCACAGTTCTATTATGGAGGCAGAGATGGAAAATTTTCTTCCCTAATACATGTATTTTATTGTACAGCAAAACTACCAAAAAGGTGAAACTGCAAAAATTAATATTTAATCTACTTTTGGTTTACTGAAATGAATTGAATAAAAAGGAGCTAAAGCACTTTGGAGAAACACTAAGAGAATATATTTACGTGGCTTTTAATAATATAACAAACAAAAAATTACATAGAATGCCTTCCAAATAAAGCAGGATTGCAAAAGCCAGCGTTTTTTGTCCTGAGAGCACTATAGATCTATAAAGTAAAAAAAATTATGAAAAATTCAAACCATTGCTAAATCACGATTTTGTTATTTAATGTATCAAAAGAAGAAAAAATAACTTTTATTTGCAATTTTGATTATTTATGTGTGTATACCCATACATAAACACTCCTGTATTTAAAATACTGGCAAGTATTTTTTGAACTAGATATACTCAAATAGTACTGTAATAATATTTTTAAACACATGGAAGATGTTTAAAAAACACATTTATGTTTAAGAAAGCATTTTTTGCGGAAAGGCCTTTCAAGGCTTAATGGGATGATGTGAAAACTCACTACAGAACTGGATATATGGAGCAAGATTTGAGAAATGATGATTCACAATCACTGTTTCGCTCTGACCAATGCAAGAGAGCCACAGTGCCATAGCATAAAAGACTGAGCACTTGGCAGTTTGAGTGGGAAAGGAGTGCTGCAAGGACATTTTCCAAGGGTCACACAGCTTTGGAACCTAGTTACCACTTTAACTCATGGGGAGGTTTACAGCACACTGTATGCTCTTCTCTCTCTAATTATTAATCAATTTGAAAAGGCACATTTTCTCCTTTAAAGACTTAGGTGTTGTTGCAGAAAATATTAACCTGTCCCACAAATTAATAATAAATATTAATTTGTCAATATGATAGAACTTGTTTTGCATTCAGATAAGGAACTCAGTTCAGGCCATTATTCTGCCTAAAGAAAGGTACTGGACCTCAGTTTACTCAAATTGTGACAATATTTGTTATATTGGAGACATAGAAGATACCTTCTGTCATTTCACCCCCCTTTCAGTAAGACTCCAGAAAAACCCTAAAATCATGGAGGATACTCAAGCTCAGATGGAGAATATCTAAAACTCTGCCAAGAACATCCAAAACAATGTGTGAACTGTTTTCTAAAAGACATATGCTCAATTTGATTTAGAAGGCAAGTTTAAAGACAAGAAACACAGAGTACTGTGTAAAAATTATAAAGAACAGGACTTATTTGTTTCTCCACTCTCCCCATCACATCACTAAAATAAATATGAGCAAGCCTGGCTACAGAGCAGTAACGACTGCATTTTTAGACTTGAGTAAGTGATGAACTTTCAATATTAAGCACTAGATCATAGATTTCTTAAAATAGTTTCCACAATACCTGAAAGGCATCCTGATGTTCATTCTTTCTGCATATTTGCACAATGTCTCCCACGGACAGTGAATTTTAACGAACATGATATCACTGTTGGTAACAGCTGGCTGTAAAGAGCAGTAACATGTAAACACATATAAATAATTTGAACCTACAGCAACCATCCTTCTAGAAGCATTCTTCAAGGTCAAATTCTGATTTCAGGCCTGAATTGGGCATGCAACTCTGAAAATAAGTGCTCTTCTAAACAAAGGAAAATCAATAACCATTTTCCTTTACAAACTCCGTAGTATGTGTAGACAAGTGGGACAAAAGGAATCTGCAGGGAAAGATCTGTGGCCATGAATAAAAGTAAAGACTTTACGCAACACCTTTTTACATGGAAACAAATTTAACATGGATTTAACAGATTGAAGACCATTCTGTGTGTCTCCTATTAAAGGAGAAGCGTGGTCAGCTGCTAGAGACATGAGAACAGATAAGAGAAGGCTCCAGGCTGCCAAAATGGTAACTCAAGGGAATGATTCAGTAATTGAATTATCTGCTGGGAATTTTAAAATGTGTATGAACTGGGATGGCTTTTTGTTCAAATTACAAAGTGTACTCTATACAAATGTTTTTCATCACTAATTTATTTATACATAAAACAAGGGTTTCAGCCTTACAGATTTCTATATTCACCTTCTCTTGTAACCACTTCAGCTCCCCACACTGTTCCCAGATGTATTTGCTTGAGATTGTATAACTAGATATTTTGATATTTGAGTTGAGTCTGATTAAAGCCTCCAAAAACCTGACTTTGCAAAGTTTGGTAAGTAAAGGTAAAAGAAAATGTAGTTAAACAATGAATAACACTTAAAATGTTTACAATTTTACCTACCTGTTCCATAAATCATATCACAGTTCCATACTACTACCTCAAGTATTTTACTTTCTCGAAAGATGCGGATAAAATAAAATACTTGTGGAAAAAGAATATTTCAGATCTTACAAAATCATTTGTTTCTGAATGTCAATAATTCTGAACTGATAAAAGATAAGATTTTATTATTTAAATTGGAACAAAATCAGATATTTTTACTACCATACTGCAACAATTCTTAAAAGCCTTAAAGCCAAATTTTAGTCAGCTTAGTTATTTATGAATATTCAACATGCCATATTGTGCGCTATATCTTGCAAGCTCATTGCCTAAACCCAGAACACGTATTACAATTCTACTGAGATGAAAAATCAAAATGAAAGACACACGAACAATAGAAGGTTACATCAGAATAGACTAAATATGTATCTGTGTCTGCAGGTCACTCATGAGACAGCAAAAATCCAAGGCAATGTTTCTCTGGCTCCTTTTTCTTTCATTTTTTATTAATACTACTATTATTAGCCACAGCTGAAACAGACTATTGACAAGCTTAACCCCTTGAGAAACAGTGAGTCATTTAACATCACGCATTCTGCTGAAAGACATAGAGGTTATACATTAAAGCAACAACATGGGTTATTGAAATTGCTTCTGTCCTGCAAGTATATGAAGCTGGAACTTTTCCGTCTGTACTGCACCACACTTCTGTGTACAAGCATGTATTGCCAAATCATTTTAAACACACACTACCAAACTATTTTTCTTATTAATTTAATACAGTTAAGCAGATGATGGAAAGCCCTGTAATTTTGTCTGGAATCTTTAATCAGTTCAGTAAAGTAGGATAGTATTATAAATGGGTTTTTTATGCCACATAAGCTGCAGGACTCACCTCCCGTTCTAACATCAGCCCTTCTGCTCTCAAATTCTTCTCAAATGTGCTTCTTTTTTCTACCTGTGGACTTGATTTCTTGTAGACCAAGATGTAGTCAATGCGCTTTTTGCCATCTTTGAAGAAGAGTCCTAATGATGCCATGGTGTCACTCTAGCAAACATAAAAGAAAAATACTCTAAACATGGCATCTATAGAGATGAAGAGCCCCATTGTGAATTGTATATAACACAGCACTTCCTAAATAATGGAAATAGCCACATATCTAAAGGATGATGAATATGCAACAAATTCAGAAGAACAAAAAAGTTATACACATCAGTTGCTCAGGATTTCAAATTAATTAGAACAAAACAAAATAAAATAGCTTTGCAGAGTCCATATTCCAGTTATTTCAGCTGTGCAAAAACTTGAAAATTCTTGAGTGGTATGTAATACAAACTTTTGTTTATCCCTACTTTCAATTGGGAATTAAAAAGAAAAAATAAGTCAATTAAAGCAATTTTCTCAGCTTTGTACCTGTGCAAATTTTATAAGACAGACATACCTGTATTTTCTCCAAGACAGAAATAAATGTAAAAAATTAAAAAATAAATGCTATTGATCGGAATGTTTGCATGGATAGTCTAGTTCAAGTGCTTTTCAATGTCATGTTAGCAATGTTTCAGTCCTGACTAGTTCCTTCCCACCATGACTGCAAACACAAGGAACTACCTGATCTTGATATGGAAAACCCTGCTTTACATGCTGCTGCTGCTAAAGAGCTATTTTTGCATTCTGTGCTTTGCATGATTCAGAACAGAGACCAAACCATCTGGTGACAGACTACAGAATCATAGAATCATTAGGTTAGGATGGACCTCCAAGATCACTGAGTCCAACCAAACTCTACCTTGTGACAACTAAATCATAGAACTAAGTGCCACAACCAGTCATGTCTTGAACACTTCCACATATGGTTACTCTACCACTTCCCAGGGCAGCCTCTTCCAATGCCTAACCATCCTTGCAGTGAAAAAATTGCTCCTGATGTCCAATCTGAGTGTCTCCTGGCTGAATCTGAGGCCATTTCCTCTCATCCTGTTGACTGGTAGAAGAGGCTGATCCCCATCTTGCTACAATCTCATTTCAGGTAGCTTTAGAGAGAAGGACTCCTCTGAGGTTCCTCTTCTGACTGAACAACTCCAGTACCTGCAGCCACTCCTTATAAGACTTAATGTCTCCAGACCCCTCACCAGCTCCACTGCCCTTCTCTGGATACACACTCCAGCACCTCAATGTCTCTCTTGCAATGAGAGATCCAAAATGGGATACAATACTCAATATGTGCCCTCACCCATGCAGAGCACAGAGGGACAATCACAGGCCTGCTCTATTTCTGATACAGGCCAGGGGCCATTGGCCTTCTTGGCCAGCTGGGCACACATATTCAGTCAGCTGCTGACCAGCATCCCCAGGTCCTGAAAACTTTGAAATCTGAAAAGGTAAACTGAGAAACTATCATCATCTTCTAGAGAATGCGGCACTCATTTAAACATGAACCATCCAGAAGAAAGTTAGTTTCATGAAGTATACATTATACCCATCATAAATAGGTCCAAATGTTTATGAATGCTGCATCTTCTGAACAAAAGGATTATGCTGGCCTTAGAAATTAATCCTATTTGGATTATTTAGGGATGAAATTTACAATACTCAGAGTTATACCCAACAGGGATTCTCTCTATGCATAAACAGAACCCTGTATCAGTGCATGATATCAGCATTATAAATACTGGATACCAGCTCACTTGTTTCTATGTGAAATGTTTTTTCTTACGCCCACATCTCTCATTGCCAGCTTTCTACACATTTAGTGCTTCTGAGAACTGCTCAGTCTGCAAAACCTAAGGCATTCTAAGAAGATTCTGTTTCTTTGCTTTTTTAACTCCCAAAATAAAAAACAACAGTCTGTCTCAACCCATCTACTGTTACAAAGGAGTGAATCATCTTACACCTGGGAACATTATTTAAGTACATTAAGATTCAATTTAGAATCGTAGACCTCTAAGATCATTGAGTCCCACCATTAACCCAGCACTGCCAAACCCACCACTACACCATGTCCCCAAGGGTCACATTACACACCTTTTAAATATCTCCAGGGATGCTGTTTCCACTTCCCTGTGCAGTCTGTTCCAATGCTTGACCACAGATTCACTGAAGAAATTTGCCCTAACAGCCAATCTCAACATGTCCTGGTTTAACTTGAGAATGTTTCATCTTGTCCTGTCACTTGTTACTGGAAGAGGCTGACCCCCATGTGGCTAAACCTCCTTTTAGGCAGTTGTAGAGAGCAGTAATACCCCGCCTGAGCTTCCTTTTCTCCAAACTAACAACTCCAGCTTCTTCAGCCAAGCCATATAAGACTTGTGCCTGGATCCCTCTTAAAACACACTACAGCACCTCAAAATTTTTCTTCATATTCAAATAAATAATATCTGAAATCCAAAATAACGTAGAAGAGATTGTCAACCAAGACTGTTAGTGCACTGAATATAGGGTCTGTCACCCCTTCTAAGAATTCTGAATGGGAATGTGTCTTGGTTTGACAAGACAGGAGTCTGTGAAGGAGGGCAAAAGCCTCCTGTGCAATGGAGAAGGTAAACCCCCTCCCTCCGAATTACCAGGATTTTTAAATTAAAAGACTCTCAGGCAAAGATATGGGAATGGGAGTAACAATTCTTTACTAGGAGAAAACTAGATAACAATTTAAAAAGGCAAATGCAATTGGTACAAACAAAACCAGTGATAAAGTCCACAACCCTGAGGAGTCAGGGTGTTAGTAGCAGTCTGGTTGAAATGATAGCTGCTCCTCTTGCAGTGGCTGATGAATTGCAGCTGAAGTGGTGATCTTTAGGAGGGTATAGTTTTTCTCTGAAGATCTGGTGGCAGTTGGGCCGGTCTTCCTCTGCGCCGGGGCTGCCTCCGAGCTCCGGCCGTTTCTCTGGGAATCCAGCCGAAGGAGCTGCTTCTCTGGGAATCCAGCCGAAGGAGCTGCTTCTCTGGGAATCC